CCCCCCCCCCGGGGCCCCCCGGGTGGGGGGTTTCTCAACCCCACCCCCCCCCCCCCCCCCCCCCCGCTGCGCCGCGCTTCATCTCCGCCGGGCACTCGCTCAGGCCGTACGTAGTCTTTCGGCTTGGTCCAGGTCGTCGTCTCGCGCGTGCGCTGGTTCCTTCCAGTAGTAGTACGTGCAGCCGCCGCTCGGGGGGGGGGGGGCGGGGTGCGACGGCTTTCTTCCCAGGCCGCGATCGATGGGTTTGAACATGCTATGCGCGCCCCGGTGCGGGTCTTTTCGTAGAAGGTGCGGCCGTTTGGGCTTGCGGCGGTATTCGATCCATTCTGGCGTGGAGGGGGTGGAGGAGGTGGTGTTGCGGGCGGCCATTGTGGAAGAGGGGATGCGGTGAGCTGTTTGGTGGCTTGTGGAAGAAGAGATGCTGCTGGATGCCAGGCGAGCGAGGCGTGCGATGATGGTGCGGTGAGGGTGAGGTTGAAGAGAGAGTGGTTGTGGTGAGCTGTTTGATGGCTTATGGAGGAAGAGTGGAATAGAGAGACCGTGCTGGATGCGATGCAATGCGAGCGAGGCATGCGGTGGTGGTGCGGGGGATGTAAGGGTGAGTTGTAGGTTATAGATTGTAGGCTGTAGGCTGTAGGTTATAGATTGTGGGTTATAGGTTATAGGTCAAAGGTTGTAGATCGTAGGTTGTAGATTATATCTAGGGCGACGAAAAACAAACGTGGACCGAAAAATCGGATCGGAGCTCGGCTTGGCAATCACATGTGGGCGGGTATCAAAACAAAAGGATCTGATAAAGAGAAAGCTTGCCTTCCTTCCTACCTCCCGCCCTGATCACATCACGACACATCCGACCCCGTACATAGCTCTTTCCACATCCCCTCTGACCAAGTACCAATCCGCCCTCCGCTCCGCAAACTCATAGACCTCCTCGGCGGAGAAAATCCCGTGATACCGCTGGCTGTCCGCGATGATAGTAGCCAGTTCCTTCGCCTGTAGACTCGTGGAACTCTTCGCCCCCGTCAGGAAACTCCCCCTCTTGCCACCGCTCCCCGACCCGCCCCCGAACACAGAAGTCGGAGGATCGATATGAACGAGGTAGATTTGTGACATCTCGCGGAGAGCTTCGTAGTAAGGCAATAGAGGTTTCTGCCGCAGAGTCCCGATGAAGGTGCTGTAGTGGTTAATGTCAGAGATGAGTCGGATAGCTCCATCGACGGAGGTGCGCTGGCGTTTGAAATGTTTGCATAGAGCGCCGAAGAGTCGGAGGCCGACTTCTTGGTTAAAGACGTCGAGCATGTTTTTGTCGGTACTACCGACCAGCATCCCCGTATGTCCACTAACCATATCGACGACCTGCTTGGCAGTGGCAGAAGGACCGATATCGTCGATCCCCTCCTTGCCGGGGTTGAAATCGGTGGGTTGCTGAGTCGTGGCGCAGATGTAATCCACTTCGTCCATCAGAACGTCGATTCCCTTATTCAGGCCGGCAGCAACACGCTCATCGAGCATCTGTTCAAATTTCTTCTTCTCCTTGACGGCTGGGTCCAGGAAGTCGTCGCGTTCTGTGAGTTTGGTGGCGATGAGCTCTTGCGAGTAAAAGACGTCTACCATTTGCTGGATCAGGTCCCCCACGTTCACTAGTTCCAAGAACGTGACAAGAGGCTCGACGCCGATATGTGCGCTCTGCGATGTCTGGCCGCCTCCTTGGGTCTCTTGTTTGAACTTCCGTACTTCACGAGGGTTGTAGCTGCTCAAATGCGTCACCGCCTTATCAAAACCTTTCTTCACATGGCGGTTGCCGAGGATGTCGAGTAAGGTGACGAAGATCTTCTCGCACTGTTTCTTGGCCTCTTCGCCATTGGAGCCGCCCATCTGCACCATGGTGGCAGCTCGCTCGAGAGATGCCTTTGCGAGGTGGGTCAAATTGAGAGCGACCTCGATGCTGAAGAGCGACTTGATGCCTTCCAAGCGAGAGTTCATGATGGCGGCTTTTGCAGCAAGCTCAGTGCTGGGCGGATCTTGTTGCGGAGCCGCAGCTCGTGGTGTTGTTGTACCAGAGCCCGCAAGTGTGGGTGTTGCGGGTCTTGCGCTGGGGTAAGCCGTATCTATCGAGTCCAGATTGGCGGATGACCTGCTTGCAGCGGTCGCTGATTTCGCTGAAGCAAAAGGCGACGACATCGGGAAAGCGTTGACGGGCATCATGACGACCTTCTTGAATGAAGAGAGAAAGTCTCGTTTCGCAGCCTGCCGATTCACATTGGACATGAAGAAGGATTCGGTGGACGCCTCCTGATCCGACATTTCCTTTTCCCACTGCGTAACGTCCAGCTCCGCTTTGAGTCGGAACACTCCATACTCCTCACTGAGGTAGAGATCAAAGTGTTTCTCGTAGCACTGTATCAGTTTGTTCTTCGCTTTCTCGAGAAAGTCTGCCGGTGCGGCCTTGGTAGGCTTCAACGAGGCGGCCAATCGAAGCGCCTGTCCGAAGTTACCAGCAACTGCCTTGACGTACGTCTCCGTGCCTTTTGCATGTGCTTCGTCAAAGAGCGCAGCGATATATTCCGAAATGATGTCGTCACACAAGCGCGTCCAAAAAGGTGTGAGGACGTCTACTGTTTGTGGAAACACTCTGTCGATGATATCGGCCTGCTGTACCATTACACCGGCCAGCTGTTCAAAGAATCTCTGGGAAGGATTGAAGTCCACATGACCCCAAGCGACGTCCTGTAAACAGTCCAGCGGGTTGCCAATTTTCGAAGTCCTGTTCAAGATCGGGTGGTTTGACATGTAGAGCTCAATGCCCGACTTGCCACCGTTGAGCGTGACCAATACGTGCGCATAGCGGTGCATGCGACCCGGCACATCGTCCGCAGCGTAGCCTTGATCAAACTCTCGAAGGACAGCACTCTCGAAGACGCCTATCATATCATCGAGCCTTCCTTCTCGTTCTGCCCAGCCAAGAGCAAGATCACACTGGGCGAATCGCTTTAGGTTAGACAGTATCTGAGCCTGCTGTTCCGGGTCACGGTAGGTCCGAAATATAAGCGCATCCGAGTGGCCTTTTGAGCGAGCGAGGTCAAAATAGATGGACGCAAGTGCGCTGTAGACCTTGCCGAACTCTTGCTTCGCCTGACCTCGTATTGAGCGCACGCGTCGGAAGATGGTGAGGGCTATGTGAGGATCCACCGAGCCAGGCAGAGGAGTAGAGAGTGACGCCGGAGAGCCAGATATCGTCAGGGCTTCGAAGCCATCCGCAAGCGGACCACGGCGCTTGGTCTGTGGACTCTGTTGCGCTTCTAATGATGTCCTGTATTTCTGCTCTTCAACGCCTGCATCGAATAACGTGACGCTTCCAGCATGCTTCCTGCCAGTCCCGCCGGAACCATTTTCGCCACCTATCTGATTAACTCCCGTCCTCCTCCACTCGTCAGTCTGTCTGGCCAACTGAGCCTCGGTCTTCCTCTTCATGGCCTCCTCTACCCTCTGCCTTGCTTCCGTCTCATTCCAGGCGCCCATCTGCTTCAATTTCTGAATCCAGCGCGTATCGTCATATACCATCTCTTGCAGCCTCCTTGATACCCTCGCAAACCTCAGCAAATCGGAGACCGGCAAGTAGTCCAGGATGGTCGCGATCAACTCGGCGGGTAGGACCGGCTTCGAGTCCACCATCTGGGTGGCTCGGAGGGAGGAGAAGACATGCTCGTTGCTTCCGGACGCTTGTCCATGAATCTGGACCTTCTTAAGGTGTTCCAATTGCGAAAGATTGCGGGAATGCCTGGCGCTCTTGGTGTGGCCTAATGGGGTTGATCGGCCGCTCATGGTTGCGAGTCCTGCTTGGTTGGAGCGATGCCCAAGCGTTTGATGTGGTCCAGGCGGCTGACATGCTTCATTCGATTCGATTCGAATTCAGAAGCAGAATTGCGAGAACGATGCGATGTGTCCGCAATGATACGAATAGTAGAATGGATGATCACAAGCGGCGGTGGGATTGTTCCCGTCCCGAGTCACTGGCGTGGGGTCCGCTACGTCGGTCCAGTGACGGACCGATCCGCTGACCGATCCGATGGATATATCTATAGAAGAATTCCTCTGTGCACCATCTCCAAACCATCAACAGCCCTCGCAACGTCGGCATGCCCCCTCCAACGTTGTACCTGATGTCGGACTCGGGCTTCATGTCTGAACACACCCAAAACATGCTGATAAGACATGCCAGCAAGCCTTGAGCCTGCCTCGTAGGAAGACGATGCCGACATCCACGCCTCCCGTCGATGCCAACAGCTCCAGCGGTTGAACGACAGGACAGCGAAGAAAAAGGCGAAGAGGCTTCCGGCCTCCTAAGCCTAAAGATCCGGACCAGCCCATATCGCTCCAGGCGGTGTGAAACCGGTGTCACGTGGAAGAAACAGACGGAGACGGAGACGGACGGTTGGAGCGACATCACCTCGCATTTCCCGTGCGCCTTTTCCTCCTGTCCAACACCCATGCATGCATGCTAACAGTCCATGCTAACAGACAGTGCATGCTCACTGACAGTCTGTGTACACCACCAATGCCTCACGCTGGGTGACCGCGCGGGTGACAGGGACAGCGCCATCTGGGACGTGTGCCCGGCTCTTGGGCGTCGCGGGCGTCGCAGCCCGGTTTGACACCGTCGACGCCCAATGGAAGCCGTGAAGCGCATTTGCATCTGGCTGCAACACAGGGAAGGCCTGCGCACGTTGGACTCGCTTGCTTCGCTTTCCCGCACCAGCACAACGCGCCCGGTTCCGCTATCTCAAGTCGCTCTCTCTCTCGCACGCCCCGTCGTATATCAGCCCACACCGCCCGCCCTCTCCTCCCGCCTGCCCTTTTCTCTCCTTCTGTCACCCTATTCCTCCATCGCGATAGATCGATCCCACCGGCTTCCGTGCTTGGGCCACGCGCGAACACGTACGTCGTCCGAGCTTCGTGAGCTGGCAAGCCCGATACGTACCCTCCGTGGTGCGTCTACCGCGGTGCGCATACCGCGGCGGCAGCAGACAATTATACGACGCGACGCCTGTGGAAGGGGACCATGTGTTTCGTCGACGTCAAGGAAGATGATCTATACACCCTCCCGCCGCGGAGGCGCCGAATCCGACACGTGAGGAGAAGCGGCTACTACTCCCCTCCGCGACGACTATCCCCGCCTCCAATGCGCCGAATCGAACGCACGCACTATGTGCGCAGACCATCGCCTGCTCCTCCGCCTCTCGAACCACCTCCTCCACCTCCGCCAGCAGCTCCTCCTCCACCTCCGCCTCCGAGTAAACCTCCCACTGAGGCACCTCCGTCAAGGTACGCATACACGAGAAGAGGAGGAACCGGGAAAGGTGTTTTGGGACATGCTATCCAGAGCTGTGAGCAAGGCGTTCTGGAGTGCAATCCTGGAAACTAGCCCAATCGAGACCGGTAGTCCCCATAGCGTCCTAGGGATCCATGCTTACACGTCGGATAGCAAAGCACCGAGTAGCAAGCCCAAGTCCGAGGCGCCGCCTCCACCGAAGAGTGAAAAGCCTGCGAGGTAAGCAAACAGTCGCGAGCATGTATCGGCGGTGACACACGCATTGTGGCTACCAACGTGAACCGTACTCTGACATGGCCCGTCGCACATCCTCTTGAAATGAGTGGAGACAAGAAGCTGACACTACTGATGCCACAGCAAAGCCCCAAGCAAAGCTCCAACCGAGAAGGCCCCGACAGAAGCACCCCCTCCCAGCAAAGCTCCGAGCAAATCTGCAAGCAAGCCACCTACGGAGAAGCCACCGTCGAGTAAAGCGCCAAGCAAAGCGCCTACGGAGAAGGCCCCTAGCAAGGCTCCCAGTAAAGCACCTACGGAGAAGCCCCCCAGCAAGGCTCCCAGTAAAGCGCCAAGCAAGGTACACTCCCCCCATGCGTACATTCTGAGGTCGAATCCTCCTGACTTGACTCCCAGGCCCCCACGAAAGCACCCACCGAAGCACCTAGGTACGTAAGGAAAGTGGATATGAGCAAAGTCAGCATCTCGTACCCCTGGGGCGTTGGGGTCTCTCATACGTTCCCTACACGGAGCATGAAATGAGAAATCTTCCCGTCGTGCCGGTGCGAGATGTGGGGGAACGTATCCGAATCAATTCGCCACCGGATCTGCCTCGATTCTGACAGCACCGAAACAGCAAAGCGCCTTCCAAAGCCGCCACGGAAAAGAGTAAAAGTACACGCAGACCCTCGCAGATGTCTCCGTCCGCGTACATAGAGGTTGACGAACTCTCAGAATCCTCCGGAGGCTCCTCCAGCGGCAGCGGCAGCAAGAAATCCCCTCCACCCCCTGCAAGCGAGTATTCCATGCATGAACGTGAGCGAGAGATCTGGTATAACCGTCCGCGCAATGCTTCTCTTTCCCGCTCTCCTCCCGCGCCCCCGCCCCCGCCGCCGCCGGGTCCGTATGAGACGTATAGGTATGTGGAAGCCCCAGCTCCGCCGCCTGCGGTTCGGAGTCACAGTTTGAGTGTGACGCGGAGTGGGATGAGAGGGGGTAATGATGGGTTCGGCGGAGGGCCGCCGAAGCTTCGGGAGAGGATTCTGATTGAGGATGATGGGAGGCATATGAGGTTGGATTACAGACGCCCTTGACCTGCGACGAAGGGGTGGGTGGAGGAGGAGTGTGAAGGTTGACTTTGGAAGGAAGAATGAAATCCGGTGTATGAGATGAGAAGGAAAGAGCGACATTTGACTGACTGGCTGGTCATTTGAAGCGCACATTTGAAGCAGGTTTGAAATCATCAGAGTATACACTTTTTTGCCTGCCCGAGTGTGTTTTTGGTTTTTTTTTTTTTCCTTCGTCAAAAGGTATGCTTTTCGAAGGTGTTTGTATACAGTCGATTCCGCGCTGGGGATCTGATGATACCGAATCGTTTGATCTATGTTCCTCTTTCCATAGCCGCGCGCTGGAGGATCCCCCTTGGCTGATTCTTTTTGAAGAATGCTGTGGTGCCTATAGGTCAATTGATGGCGTCGTGATCTGGCGTGCGTGCCTTCGCCTATAGTGAGAATGGTTTGAGTGAGATGGAGGTGAAGCTACAGTCGTCTTCACACACACATACACATAAGAACGGTTCATCTAGGACGGCTGCCATTCAATAGCTGGTTTGGAGCTTTCCCACTCACTCGTCGAGTCGTCGTTGCTTTGTGAGAATCAATCACGGTCGTCCATATCGATTGCACAGTACGCAAACGCTTCTCCGGCGCAAGATGTTAAGCCCCCCTCCCGCAGTACAGCGGCTTGATGCTCGTATAGATTAGGTATCTTTCTTTCCGCCGCTTGGCTTCGGCAATAGCCTCGACACCGCTCGCGTAGTAGTTGGGAATACTGTGGAATCTCTTTAAATTTGCAGCCCAGCTAGCCGCTCGTGTTCCTCTCTCTAGTTAGATCTCTACAAGCAGATAGTTCTCGCACTATTCTATCTAGATATCCAAGAAGACACCAACAACGGCATACTATAAGCTCTCCATCGGCGCCAAAGTAAGACGACATACAGCGAGTCCCATCTAAAGAGCATGGAGCATGGAGCAGGTGGTCTTCCCTCTTCCCGAGACGAAGGTACCAGCCAAGTAGGGGGCTCGTCAAGGACTAAGCAAGATATCCCATGGTTGCTACGACCGAGGTTCATTGCACAAAGGCGGGCAAGTTTGGGTACTCCTCCGTCACTCTATGAGCGTTTCTCGGGTGTATATCTAGAGCGGAACAGAAACCGAGATTTGGAGGCATCGAGCTGTCAGCGCGGGGTGCGTTCGAGACACTATGCAACGTCAAGCATCATTTAATTTCGGTAGCTACGCTCAGTGCTGATTGGAAAGACACATGGAGCTCTCTAAAAGTAGTGAAATTTTGGGGATACTTTGATGCATGTGACTTGGCCGTCCGTGCGTGGCTCTATGTTTGTAAGCGGGACATGATAGTCGTGAAATTTTCGCGACACAGCATTGAAGTGTCCACAATGCGCAGACTTCCAGATTGGAACTCCCCTCTTCCCAGCTTCTTCCTCTTCTCGATCAACCTCGCTCTCCCCACCTGAGTTCCAGACAACACCACTACCCGCTTGCTTGGCACCGCCGCCATGGGCCACAAGCAGGCCGCGGCTCCCGCCCGTTCGCTAGTTCCCTCAAAATGCCAAATCTGAGTTATCTGTTCTCGTGGTGGAGAAGATGGAGAATGAGCGTCTACCGGTCGGAAAACCTCAGCTGGAGGATGAGGAGCAACAGCGCGGTCGCGTCTTCGAAATGCCGCCGCAAGAATTTTAGGACATCATGTTCGAGTACGTGTTCATTGTGGTCCACCAGCGTATTGGGATCCACCAGGGATTGTCAGTGTTATGGACAAGTTTCAGTGGTATCGAGGGGGATGAAGCGAAGCGCGGAAGACACCGAGTGCCACGTCGTGCGGTTTTCCTCATAAGGTCAACGACTTCTTCGTCTTGAAGGAATTCTTTCTCGCAGCTGTCAAGGTCTACATCAGGGGCATAGACCGCTCAGGATGTGGTTTGTGGTGATTCGAGGACAGCGTTCTCTGCGTTCGCGATGCGAGACGCAAAAGCCTGCAAGGACTTTCACTATATGTATTCTCACATCAAATGCTTCGAGACACCTCAAGATTTTGGCGTCTTGTCCCGCGGCCTGCCTTTCTCAGACGGGCCCGACGACGCGCAGGTCCGGAATCCGCCTGGTTCCAAAGCTTCCCGAATACAGTGTTGAGTCAGCTGCCTTACAAGAACGAGAAACCCGTCGTCACTAGATTCCTGATTCCAAGGCACAAGGAAGCGCTGTCCCACGAATCGCGTCCTTTTCAGAAAGCGGGTGTCAGCAGATGCATTTGTCTCCACGCTTCGACCGCAAGGCATTCCTAGTTCAGACCAGGAGATACTGGAGATGACCGTCGAATGATCTTCGACCGTGATAGGCCATACGAGTAACATGGGGGCACGGGAGAGCCAGCACGAAACCGGAGAATGAATCGAATAGCTCTGTATTCTCATCTGCGGACGGTTGTTCCGCCGCGGAACAAATTGTCGTGGCGTGACGGTGTACAACATGGAAGAATAGCTAGGTCGAGTTTGTGCCTGGAGATCGTTGACGGGTAGACTGTCTGTCAATCCATCTTCGGGATGAGTTTCACTCCCTAGTGGCCTTCAATAGCTCTTGACTTGTTCATCCAACAACGCCGAAGGGTATGCACGCACATCGTCCGTCTTGAAGGAAGTACATCTCGAGAGCAAGAGCTCTGTTTCGATTGACACAGGACAAGGGCCGAACGGTAAACTCGTGATGAAGGAATCATACTTGGAGATTAAAGTATATCTCACTTGAACGCCAGCTGGGAATCAGCACACAAGTCGTCCTTGTTCCTCCACACGCGCGTTGAATCGGTCGTGCCAGCGGACGTGCTGCAGCCTCAGAACATTCCAAGCTTCGACGAAGAGATGCCAAAGATCATCGCTGAGAATGCGGTAGTTGAGCTGGGTCTGATGCGAGACACAAAGGCGCGTGAGGCTAGGCGCCTGGAACAGAAGGAATAGAATGCATCGGCCGAGAAGGTCTTCCATTCCCTGAACTTGGATTTAGATGTTTTGGAAGTCAAAAAACCCAAGAAAGAAACCGAAGAGGTGGCTGTGAGCATGTGGTGTCTCGTCTCCGTAAGCTCATGAGTCCTTTTCTGGCTTCCAGAGCGGATGGCGCAGACGTTTGAAGAGGAAGACAGCTCTTTGGTATACGCTCGGTGTATCTTGGCGACATTGCGGAGTTTAGATAAGCTGAGTCGGCAAGGATGGGTGTCGGTATCTCGTTGCTGAAGTCGAACTTCTGTCACGCTTCAGAGGGCATCTCTGTCGGTCTTTGCGGTTGTGGAAAGGTAAGCTATTCCAGTTGAAAGTCGAATTAGCATGGACGAGTGTTGGTATGGTGCTGCTCGATCCAAAGCGATGTTTCGTTTTAAGGTCTATGTCTGTCGATCTTTCAATTCCTCTCCCTCTTATGCACCCAAACTCGTCATGACCCTCACAATCTCTTGCGCAGTAACATTAAACACCGGCGTCGTCGGATGCAAATCATTCATCCAAAGGTACTTATCAATCGACTTGTCGCAATGGGGATCCTTGTGATTCCACTCCTTGGCCCCGAAAACATAGTAATTGCAGAAAGTATTAACATCTTCGAAACCGCAACTCTGCTCAAATGTACATGGGTAATCGATCATGTCATTGAACATCTCGAAGGTGTCGAAGACAACTCCAGTAGCGTCGGGGTAGGTTTCAGTAAAGTTCGTCGTGAGTGAGGTGAGATTGGTATTCCATTCTGATACCCATTGTTTCCATTCCCGAACCAGATCCATTCGAGGCGCGAGAGGTGAGCGATCGATGGGTGGGATGTTCAGGAACAGAAGGTTGCGTGCACCGGATTGGTAGAGAATATCTACATCTTTGGCGAATTCTTCAAAGGCTTTGGCGAAACTCTTTGCGGTCTCGTTGTTCGCGTTGTGGATGTCGTTCAGTCCAATCCAGACGATGAATAACGTGTTCTCAGGACTCCAGTCTAATGGTCTAGGCTCAGCGTTCACGTAGTAAGCGAGGTATTGTTCATTGATCTGATATTTCAAATCTCTCAGAGCGGGTACGTCCGGATGAATCAGTTCAAGATCCACAGTCGAACCGCCGTATGCGAAGTTGAAAGTTTTCACAAGTGTGATGTTTTGCACAGCAGTGAGATAGCCTACCCAGTTCGGTCCGTTCGTAGCGGTGGCACCTGGGTATTCTGGATTGCCGAAGGGATTGGCGATGGAAGGCTGTTCGCCATTCTCCTCAAATCCAGTACTAGTCCAGCTATCGCCGAAGATGAATATGTTTTCTATGGCCTCTAAACCGTGGAAATGTGTTCCGCGGTGGGAGAATGCCGTGTAGGGGCCACGAGTGGATCCTAACGCAGGATGCTTGTTTGATAATCGATACGGAATGATCTCATAAAGCTGGTATAGTAGTGTTACGGCAATCACACTTGAAAATGTATTAGTCACGCACGAGTGAACTGCGCATCGGGCATGGATGTGATACTGACACGGCGAGGGTGAGAATGCCAATGTATGTAGGAACCGGCGTGCGGCGGGAAAGAGAAGACCACATTCTCTCTTCATCGAAACATTATTGAGCTGCCTGCGTGTTCAGAGATTGGTGACATTAAGATTTGCTGGTAACATGATTGATGTTGGATGGGATAGAGCAGCAGGAGGTGAGGTTCACTCACGGGGGTGTTAATAGAGTTTGGGGTCTTGGCACTACCACGCTCTCCTGCCGAGGCCAATGGGAGTGCCGGAGAAGCAGGCTCAGAATAGCAAGAAAAGGAGCAAAAAGATATGAGGACTGTCACGATCCACACTGTACAGTCTCCCGTTGTACTGATACTCATATATGTATACATCGGCTGCCTTGATTCTTTGAATCCCAGTTTCCTGACCATGGGATCTCACAAACCGCAGGGGTTGTCTCGCTCTGCGAATTCGCATGTGACTGATTTCTCTTGAGAGCAAGCTTATAGTCGAATGTGTCGAGTGTCTGACGGAGACGGACGACATGGTTCGGGGTCCAGGAAGATGATCCAGGTTTGCTCATATTCTCTGATTCAAGTTGCCATTGAATTAGGCTTGAGTCATGCGTTACCAACAGAAGGCCGCAGATTTTGGTTGCGTCTCCGGGAAGCTATGGCTGCGCAAGAGATCATACCACCTATTTCGGCCACTTCTTCCAACCTCTTCCATGTCCCCTCTCCTTCCATTGCCGTATCAGCTCCGGCATTCCCTCCATTGCCAATCGTCTCTGCTCCAGCCGTGCCCTCATTGTCCTCTCCCACGCCTTACCCTTCACCTGCCTCCCAACACCCGTGCCTTGTACTCTCAATCCGTTCTCTATCCGCTTCTGCTCTCTGACCTCTGGATGTTTCGGGCTTAACGGCATCAACGGTAGCACTTTATATTTCTCTGCTAGCTTGAACATCTCTGCCTGTCGTCTCATGGAATAGGCAGGGCCATGCCAGTTTCCCGTTCGCGGATTCTTGAAAGGAAGGAAAGGGTTTCGGTATGCTTTCGCTTCGGTGTCTGATTGTGCGATTTCGGATTCTGAAGGGGCCGTCGTGACTGTTGTTGTTGATGCGCCGGCATTCGGATCTGAAGAGGAGGTGTTCTCTGCTATTGTGATGGTGGACGTCTCCTCGGAGGAGGGGATTGAGCGCGATGTTGTTGCTGTGCCGACGATTTGTGGAGGCGGGTACTTCCTGAAGAAGTTGAGAAGGCGCGGATGTAGGTCTTGCGCAAGCTTCACGTATTCGGCGGCCATGTCGTTGGTTGTGAGGGTGAAGACAATGGGGACGTGGGAAATGGCAGCTCGGAAGTGAGTGAGAGTCGCCGCGGAGGTGTGCCTCAGGCAAGAAGTATCGCGTGTGGCCCAAGCAAGAAGCTTTGACCACGCTTCCCGCGTCGTCAACCTCTCGTGCCTGGAGATGGGCAGCTCCGACTCCATCATACAACACCATCCAGCTCTTCGTCCTCCCCAGAAACGACAACGCCGCTTCGAACCCATCTCGCCGACTATCTGCAAGTTTTATTGAAACCAGGAGAGAAACGCGCGTACAGATCATCCCAGAAACGAGCTCCAAACATACCAAACAGCCACCATGGCCTCGCCATTCTCCATCAGTACGGCACCACCCCACCGCTGAGACATATCACATACTGACATACACTTGAACAGACGGCGGCGCCTGCGTTGCGATGGTCGGAAAGGACTGCGTGGCCATCGCCTGCGACCTGCGGTTAGGTCTCCAAGCGCTCACAGTTAGCAACAACTTCCCCAAGATCTTCCCATACGGCAGCAACACCTACCTCGGCCTCACTGGCCTGGCGACCGACGTGTCAACCGTAAGCGAGCTCTTCCGATACAAGGTCAACATGTACAGATTGCGTGAGGAGCGCGACATCAGCCCCCAGACCTTCGCGAATCTGGTCAGCAGTAGCTTGTATGAAAGACGGTTTGGGCCGTGGTTCGTGAGCCCAGTGGTGGCTGGCATCAACGAGACAACAGGAAAGCCGTTCATTTGCGGGTGCGTACACACAGAACAGGTAGAGGAATGCTTGAGCAAGCATGCTGACGGATATCTTCATCTAGCTTCGACTCCATCGGCTGCATCGACTTCGCGAAAGACTTCATCGTCTCTGGTACGGCATCTGATCAACTCTTCGGAACCTGTGAGGGCCTCTGGGAGCCAGACCTCGAGCCCGAGGACCTCTTCGAGACCATCTCACAAGCCCTCCTCAACGCAGTCGACAGAGACGCACTATCGGGATGGGGTGCACACGTCTACATTATCGAGAAGGACAAGGTCACCAAGCGACTACTCAAGGGCCGACAAGATTAGACGGAGAAAGAGAAGCGCAACCGGGCGCTGGTGTACATTAGACGAGAGGACGCATTGCATGAATATGGCAAGGCACGGCGTTCGGGGTGCAGGATATCCGAGATGGATACAGGGGCGCTGTGTTCGAGACAGCCTTCGCAGACATGTACGTTCAGTGCCTCTCATGAATCAAGACTGATTGAGGCACCAATAGCCTTCCTTCGCATACCTCTCTTAGTGACAAGTCGTACATGCGAGCCTCCGTTGCCCAAACAATGAGAATACACTGCTTCATTGTCTCGGCGAACGATCGACCATTGCCTTAATAGCTGCGAGTCAGCTATGTGGCAGGCTCGTGGCGCCGTGAAGCTGCTCGAATGGCGGGCCTGGCGTCGCGGCATTCACCCCGCACGTGTACGTGATCGACCAGGCTACGCAACGAGGGAGACCCAGTTTCTCGATTTGGAGACCAGCAGCGGCAGTGCAATGCGGTGGAAGGTCATCTCGAGGAGCGCTACAACTGCCTCTCGTCTGGCCATCGATTCCGCTAGAATACCCGAAACGATTCGCATCCGCGAAAAAAGAGCACAGCATCTCAGCACACTGGCGTGTTAACTCGACCGCTGCTACTGCTGTGTTGCGCTGTCCGACTTGCTGTCTCCCGGGCTATGGCCAGGATATCTGGGCAACTAAAAGCTTGTGAAAGAACGCTGTAGTTCTACTGGGAAACTGCATAGCATCTAGAATCAAAAATACACCCTGGGTATCAATTCCTCGAAGCAGTGCCGGTCGTATCGAGCGCGAACGACTGCGGGCCGCCGGTGTCTAATGATATCTCATCTTTTATCCGGTCACTTGACAGTAAGCATTTTCAATGAGCCCATGCCTCATGTCTTTCGGTTAATTAGCCTGAACAAGGACTCGCCCTACGCTCTACCGAGTGAAACCGTCAAGGACTGGGTTGTCCCTGCCTCCACGTGGGTCAAGAGGCGCTACTCAACCTTGTTTGCCATGACTTTGGGGTAATGTCCTGGACTTCGCTCTTTCTTCTCTCATCCAGATTTCAGGATGGAGATGTTGTTGCTGGCTTTTGCACTATGCGGTGGCATTGTGCGGGCTCAGGACAGGCTATCCGATTATGTTGATCCATTGATTGGTACTGAGGGAGCCATTCCCGGATCTGGTGAGCATTTGCACCAACACGCTGTTCTCTTCTTCTCGTACTAATATGTACTGCAGCACTTGGAGGCGGCAACAGTTTTCCAGGCGCAAGTCTCCCATGGGGCATGGCCAAAGTTGGAATCGATACCAGCTTCCTGGGTATTCTCAATGCTACCGATTGCAATGCAGGCTACTCTCCTTTGGGCAACGTTACAGCGGTCAGCATGATGCACGTATCGGGGACTGGAGGAGCTCCTACATATGGAATAGTCTCGCAGATGCCGTTGCACGGAGGGCTCGATACTGTCAACTTGGCCGACAATATGACGTACTGGCAAAACCGCTCTCTGGAGGCCGAACACGCTGAAGTGGGAATGTTCACGACGACTCTGTTGAATGGTGTGAAGATTGATATTACTGCGGCTCAACACTCTGGTATTATCAGATACACGTTCTTGAAGGGCAAGAGTGTCTCGAATACAAGTATCGCCTTGACTTCCGGCTCTTCCGTCGCAGTTCGGTCGAGCGATGCCCACGTCTTGGCAGACCTCACCCATGTCCTCCCTAGCTACTACATTCAGGATTACTCGGAGACCTTCCTGAGAGGCGATCTTTATATCCGTACTGGCTCGAATGGTCAAGCATCGTACTACGGCTCAGCTACGTATTCTGGAGGATGGATTCAGCCCGATACGCAATCCATTTTCTTCTGTGCCAACTTCTCCGCATCGGATAGTCTGACCCCTACCAACGACTACATCAAACAAGCTACGAGTAGTGATGTACCAGGCGCTGGATCGTTCTTCTGGACGTACGACCCTGTGGTGCCTCTCAACTTCACGCTTCGACCCTCTCCAGACTCACGCACGGACGCCGTCACTTACACAGGCAGTGGGCAAGGTATTGGAGCGCTCTTCAGCTGGAGTCGATCTGGGGCAAACAGCTCGGCAGATGCCATTGTCGAATCCAGAGTCGGCATCTCGTCTATCTCTGCCAAACAAGCTTGCCAGAATCTTGCAAAAGAGCTTCCTCCGTCGGTCACCTTTCAGGATGTCGTGGAGAAGTCCAAGCAAATCTGGGAATCGTCCGTGCTCAACACCATTGAGATCGGAGACGACAATTCCACGACAAGCAACAACAAGACTTTGAAACGGATGTTGTACTCAGCCCTCTATCAGACGGGTCTAATGCCAACGGATAAGACAAGCGAGAATCCGTACTGGGAGACGACCGACGACAATCCTTACTACGACGACCACTATACGATCTGGGATACCTATCGCACGGTCCATCCGCTCTACCATTTGATCTTCACGAGCATCTACAGCAGAGTTCTCAAGGGCCTTGTATCCATCTTCACGAATGAGGGCTTCCTTCCTGCTGGTCGAGCCGCAAATTGGAATGGCAGAGTTCAAGGAGGCACGCATGCTGATATGATCTTAGCCGACGCTTTCACCAAAGACGTGGTAGGACTCGACGGCGAGAAGGGATCGAATATCCTCGGTGTGGACTGGAACGAAGCGTACCGTGCTGTTTTAAACGATGCAAGGAATCCTCCCGTCCGAAACGTCGATCCTGTAGCTTTCGACGGTGCGACCAAGGAAGGGCGAGGCGCACTCGAGGAACAGCTGCGGTTGAAGTTCATCACCCGTAATCACAGCCGCGGCATCTCACGAGGACTGGAATATGCACAGAACGACTTCGCGATCTACAGCATAGCAAGTGGTCTCGACCAAACTGGCGACGTCCAAGAATTTCGTGACCGATCAGATTGGTGGCAGAATCAATGGAATCCGCACGCTAACATCACACTTGCCAACGGTACTCTTGGGCCTTTCACTGGCTTTCCAGGCGCTCGCAATCTTGACGGAAGCTGGAATTTCACAGACTATGAGCTAGTCACTTGCACCGATTGCGGTTGGAGCGGAGACATTTACGAGGCAACTGTCTGGCAAACAGCTTTCAGCGCCGCGCCACATGACATGGCAAAGCTGATCGAGCTCATGGGTGGAGACGAGACATTTGTCAAGAGACTTGACACTACCTTCGTGCCCGGACTGGGTCAGGCAAGTGATAACCCGAATAACGACGCTGGCACGGCGATCTTCGATCCTGGTAAGCTCTCTTCCCTCCATCGCTTCGAGACTCGCACCACTGACACTTGCTAGGCAATGAGCCTTCCTTCTCGACGCCGTTCTTGTACAACTATGTACCCAAGAAGAACTGGAAGACCGTGAATCAGACCCGAGCAATCGTCGACGAATTTTACTCTGATCGAGCAAATGGCTATCCTGGGAACACAGACAGTGGAGCACTGCCCAGTTGGCTGGTCTTCAACTTGATCGGCCTCGTAAGTCACCCATCAGCCTTCAACACAAAGTCACCCGCACTGTTATGCTGACCATGCACTCCAGTTCCCTGTATCCGCCCAACCAATCTACCTCCTCAGCGCACCCCGCTTCTCGTCGCTCAAGATCAAACTGTTTGGCGGTACATCCCAGGCGAAGACCCTCTGTATCACCGCACCTGGGCTTTCCGCGGCGAGCTACTATCCACAATCTGTCACTTTCAACGGTCAGAAACTAGATCGCAGTTGGCTACATCATTCCGAACTCAGCAAAGGGGGACGTCTGGTGTTTGAGATGGGCTCGGAGCCCGGGACGTGGGATAGCGGTGAGAGGCCGCCTTCGCTTTCGGCTTGGTAGAACGTTGTATGTAGTCTCTTCAGAGGTCATATCCATTCCGAAGGTGACATCAATAAGACTACTCGCAAGTAACAGTTCCATCCCCAGCAAACCTACGTTCAAGATGGCAACGACGTCGGAATGAAACGGTAGTGAAACGTTCGTTAGTAGCTGTCGAGATGAGTTGTCATCGCAAGTGTCGTTCTCATCTCCTCGAAGTCTTCAAAAAGCCAGGCATAGTGTTCGCGTTCTCTGTGCTGTTGTAAGCATGCTGCTAGACTATGGTAGAGGCCCGAATCCGGTTAGTGGCTTGGTAGCCACTTCCAATGTATGGCTCCACTTCCACAGCTTAGATAGGAAATAGATCATCGACGTCTTATGAGTCAAGTGCACAACTAAGACTCCGATCCTTCCTGCAGATGCTCAGTCTTGGCGGCTAGTCCGAACTGAGTCCAAATTACGACTCTTACAAGCATTACGCCAAATAACCCTCTGGAAGGAGCAACGTCCCGTATCGGCCAAGCAACACAATCTGCATAAGGCATCGACAAGATAGGCTTATCTCTGGGCACGTGCAAAGGGCAATCCATAACATAATATCTCTCATGTGGTCCCAGTCCTGGACCATCGCTCTCAAGCAATGAATGGCAAGTCCCTAGCGGAAGATCTTCACTGTGCAGACTGTGCAGAGAGAAGTACAAGTAGCAGGCAAGGTCCCCCCTCTCTTGAATGGCACTACTACCGCTTCCCCGATCATTCTTTCTCCTCCTCCTCTGGCTCGCTGCCACCGCCAAGATGAAGGCGTTCGGTTTCGTGCTGCCCGCGTTCGTTTCGTCGCAGTTGGCGAGCGCTTCGCCGGCTTGGATTGCGCCGGAGTATAATGCTTCCAACACGCTGCTCGACCCGGAGGGCAACAAGCTGGGCGCCGTGGCGTCGGAGAGCTCGATATGCAGTCAGATTGGTGGAGATGTCCTGAAAGCGGGAGGGAATGCTGCGGATAGCATGGTGGCCACTGTGCTATGTGTTGGTGTCATCGGCATGTATCATAGGTGGGGTTGAGCTCCCTCTCAAGAGAAATGCACGAATTCTCACAGTTCGCAGTGGTATCGGCGGTGGCGGGTTCATGCTTGTCAGAAGTAGCAACGGAAGCTATGAGTTTATCGATTTCAGAGAGACGGCACCCGCGGCGGCGTTCCAGGACATGTACAACAACAATACCAACAATTCTATTTACACCGGACTGGCCAGCGGAGTACCGGGCGAGCTACGTGGTCTGGAGCGCCTTCACAACAATTACGGTGTCTTGCCTTGGAAAGATCTGGTGATGCCCGCGATCAAGGTGGCGAGAGATGGCTTTCCAGTCACTCAAGACCTCGTCAAATACATGGATTCTGCTACCAGTGATGACAACTTCCTTGTTGAGGATCCGAATTGGGCCATCGACTTTGCTCCGAATGGTACTCGTCTTGGCTTGGGAGATACCATTACCCGCAAGCGATATGCGGCTACTCTTGAGCAGATTGCCGAGCGCGGAGTGGATGCTTTCTACACGGGACCAATCGCACAGCTCACGATCAACACTATTCAGGCCAACAACGGAACTATGACCCTGGAAGACCTGAAGAACTACACAGTGGCCATTCGAGACCCAGCAAGTATCACATACCGAGACTACAGGATCCACAGCTGCAGCGCGCCTTCATCCGGGACGGTGGCCATGTCCGTGATGAAAATCATCGAAGGCTACCCTGATATCGGCTACGCAGCCACTCTCAACCTCAGCACACACCTCTTCGACGAAGCCCTCCGATTCGCCTACGGCCAACGCAGCGAGCTCGGCGATCCACTCTTCGTCGACGGCATGGACGAATACCAAGCCGACATGCTCAGCGCAGAGACCGCCGCCGCCGTCCGCGCCAAAATCTCCCCCTTCCACACCTGGAATGTCTCCGTCTACGACCCTTCCGGCTTCGAATCCCTCGAGACGCCGGGCACCTCGGCCGTCGTCACCAGCGACGTCTCGGGCCTCACGGTAGCCCTCACGACCACGGTGAACCTCCTCTTCGGCTCCAAGATCCTCGTCCCGGAAACCGGCGTCATCCTCAACGACGAAATGAACGACTTCAGCATCCCGGGCTCGTCCAACGCGTTCGGCTACATCGCCTCCCCGGCAAACTACATCCGGCCCGGCAAACGGCCCCTGTCGTCCATCTCCCCCACCATCGTCGAGCACGCCAACGGCTCCTTCTACTTCGCCACCAGCGCCGCCGGCGGCAGCCGCATCATCACCAGCGTCCTGCAGAACCTCTGGCACGTGCTGGACCAGAACATGACGTCCGCGCAGGCCCTGGCGCGCCCGCGGCTGCACGATCAGCTCGTGCCGAATCAGGTGTCGTTTGAGTATGCGTATGACAACGAGACGGTGGCGTTTATGGAAGGTAGGGGCCACAATGTGACGTGGGTCGCGCCGGGCGAGAGCACGGCGCAGGCGCTGCGGTTGTTCTGGAATGGCACGTTTGAGGCTGCCGGGGAGCCGAGACAGCTTGATAGTGGTGGGTTTGCTGTGTGATGGGAATGATCGTGGCGAGCGGATGATGGGAAACGACAGATGTTCAAAACAGTTCCGAGGGTATTGTTATGTATGCTATAGCGTGGGAAGAGACATGTCGCTTACATGTGAACTCATCCCTAGCGCTAAGGGTGTCTGTAGCTTGAAGTGTGACCCAATCGAACTTGCACCAGAAACATTGAACATCCCCAAGGCCGTAATCCGTGCCGCAACTCAACCATGGCCGCTGTTGCCGCAAGTACCGCGACTCCAGATGGAATGATGGAGACATTGAAGCCCGAAGAAACGCAGCAGGCAAATATCCGTCCCCGGCGTACACTCCGTTTCCACACACACGCACACTAACAGTCCCCAGGGCACCTACCGACGAGCGCGGATCTGCGTGCGACAAGGTCTTCGATCTTTCCAGAACACGCACGAAAGAGCCAGGAAGTCGTGCGCTGTTGTTTCACTGCAAGCTGGGAATGAAGGAAGAATTGCTGCATGTGGGGTTTCCGTTTTGCGTGTGATGGCCTTGGCTTCGACTCAGGACTAGCGTCACTGTCCGTTCGAAAGAGTCACTTTAATGAACGCGTTTGGTTCTTGTGGAGGGAGGGGAAGAGATGGCGAGAGTTGAGATGTTTTGTCCTGTATTTGGTTGTCACTGCGGCTCGCGAGCGGGAGCGAGATGAATGGCTGAAGCGATGGTACGAGGAGAAGTATGGGAGTCTGAATCTGGCGTTGCTGGCGCTTCTGACTTGACTGTCCTTTTCTTGCACAGAGGGCGGGGACATCCTCGTTGCGGAGATATCTCGAAGCCGACCAGAGGAGTACACGCCAGTGGCCTGAGGCAGGGAGGTGTAAATGTACGGTGTAGTATCATGCAGCCAGCAGAGAATAGATTCGAGGCGGTCAAGGGGAGACGACGGAGTGGCGCTAGCATCGACGAGGTTCATCAGCCGAGAGGTAGCAAAGCAGAGCAGAATCAAGCAAAGTAGAAGTTCTGTCGAGTGCCGTATTGTAATATCAGTATAATATCAGTAATCAGTACATCATCATGAGTGCGAGTGAACAGGCAAGAGTGAGATGGAAAAGGAAAGAGCGATAGACGACGTGAAGCGCTAGCCGAGTCGGGCTAGCGTGGAACCCTGATTCGCCACCAGGTTCGGGCTGTCCCGCGAAAGGGCAGCCGCGCTAAAATTTCAGACAAGTCTTGCAGCTGCGATTTTACTGCCCCAACATCTTCCTCCTCCTCCTCCTCCTCCTCCTCCTCCTCCTCCTCCTTCATCTCTCTCCCCCCAAACACCTCACCACCACCACCCAACTCAACACCTCCCCATCACCGCGTGTGTGTGTTTGCTCAGATTCGGTTCTGATCTCGTTGCATTGCACCGCTTTTTCCCCCTTCTTTCTTTTCGTCTTACCTGCACTCGCTTCTGCACGCGAGACCGGAAAGAAGTCACATTTCTACCACCGCACCCACCTCCGACCTCTCACTACTCAACGCACCCGCGACTGATCAGTCGACGCCGAGACCACCAGAAATATGGCAGAACAACTCAACATGAACGGCCTGTCCCTCAAGGACTCCGCCCACGCTCCTCCACCAGGCCCTGCTCAGCCGCCGCAGCAGCAAAACGGCGGCTTCAACGGAGAGCGCTCCGCATACATTCCACCCCACATGCGCCAACGCGGCGGAGGTGGTCCTCCAGCCGGCCGTCCAAACGGCTTCGATGGTCCACCACCAGGCCCCAACGGCTTTCCACCACAAAAGTAAGTTCGGCCTCATCCTGGCCTGAAATCCCGGTCATGACGCCAAGACTGACGTGACGATTCTGTAGCGGCGATTTTGGCGGTCCTCCACGCCAGCAAGGCGGCAACTGGGGCGCTGCTCAGTCCTTCACTCCTCGCGGCAACTGGGACAACTCGCCTCAGCTCCCTCGCGGCTTCGATCGTAACGCATACGGCGCACCGGGCGGCGGCAGCGGTGGCGGCAGCGGCGGCCGTCAGCACACAGGAGCAGGAGACGGACAGTGGAGAGATGGCAAGCACGTGCCAGGCCCGTCGAACCCACGTGTGGAGCGTGAGTTGTTCGGCGTCGCGAACGACCCAACCAAGCAACAGACCGGTATCAACTTTGAGAAATACGATGACATCCCGGTGGAGGCGTCCGGACAGGGCGTGCCAGAGCCTGTCGTTACCTTCACCAACCCACCACTCGATGACCACCTCATTTCGAACATCGAGCTTGCAGGCTACAAGATCCCGACGCCTGTGCAGAAATACTCCATTCCGATTGTCATGGGCGGCCGTGACCTGATGGCTTGTGCCCAGACCGGTTCCGGAAAGACTGGTGGTTTCCTCTTCCCCATTCTCTCCCAGGCATACCAGAACGGCCCAAGTGGCAACGTCCCGCAGCAATCAGGCTTTGCCCGCCAGCGCAAGGCCTACCCGACCTCCCTCATCCTCGCCCCGACTCGTGAGCTTGTCTCTCAGATCTACGACGAGGCCCGCAAGTTCGCCTACCGATCGTGGGTCCGTCCGTGCGTCGTCTACGGTGGTGCAGACATTGGCTCTCAGCTCCGCCAGATCGAGCGCGGCTGCGACTTGCTCGTGGCTACTCCAGGTCGTCTGGTCGACTTGATCGAGAGAGGCAGAATCTCGCTTGCTAACATCAAGTACCTCGTTCTCGACGAGGCTGACCGCATGCTTGACATGGGTTTCGAGCCACAGATCCGCCGCATTGTTGAGGGTGAGGACATGCCACCAACCGACGGCCGCCAGACCCTCATGTTTTCGGCCACCTTCCCACGAGACATCCAGATGCTGGCTCGCGACTTCCTCCGAGAGTATATCTTCCTTTCGGTTGGTCGTGTCGGTTCCACCTCGGAGAACATCACCCAGAAGGTTGAGTATGTCGAGGACATCGACAAGCGTAGTGTGCTCCTCGACATCCTGCACACTCACGGCGCAGGACTCACGCTCATCTTCGTCGAGACCAAGCGCATGGCCGACTCCCTCTCCGACTACCTCATCAACCAGGGCTTCCCGGCCACCTCCATTCACGGTGACCGCACTCAGCGCGAGCGTGAGAAGGCTCTGGAGATGTTCCGTACTGGACGCTGCCCGATCCTTGTCGCCACCGCTGTGGCTGCACGAGGTATGTTTTCATCCTTTCTATTCACGAATCCTCTGCGCACATCATCTCAAATCCCACCTTCTCGTTCACGCACTCTCGCTGTGGTTGCATGTGTTTGGGAACTCCACTGACGAAAACAAAACAGGTCTCGATATCCCCAACGTGATGCACGTCGTGAACTACGACCTTCCCACCGACATCGACGACTACGTCCACCGCATCGGTCGTACTGGACGTGCCGGAAACACCGGTATCTCTACCGCCTTCTTCAACCGCGGCAACCGTGGTGTCGTTCGGGATCTCATCGACCTTCTCAAGGAGGCCAACCAGGAGGTTCCAAGCTTCCTCGAGACCATCGCTCGTGAGGGCTCCGGTTTCGGTGGCGGCGGTCGTGGCGGTAGGTCCGGCGGTCGTGGCCGCGGCAGTGCTGCCATGAAGGATGTCCGTACCTACGGCGGTGGCCAGCGCCCAGCTTACAGCGGCGGCGCGAGCGGCGGTGGCTTCGGTGGTGGCAGCGGAGGCTACAGCGGCGGTGGCGGCTACGGAGGTGGCTACGGCGGTGGTGGTGGCTACGGCAACCCGACTGGACCATCCGGCCCCAACAGCTGGTGGTAGATGCCTCCACCCACCTCCTTCCACGGACATTGTTTTCCTTGCGTTCTTGGTGCGATTCTTTGCTTTTCCTTCCGGACACTTCGGCGGATCGAACGAGCGTGCGACAACTCATTATACCCAAACCAGCATGATAGACTGCGTTGACTTTCCGGGCTCATTTGCATTTGCAACGGCGTGGGGAGACGGCGCATTGAAAGATTGATGATACCGTGGCGCGCTTTTCCGCGGCAACAGCGGAAGCATCGTGTGGCTTCTCTTCGCTCTCAGGCTTTGGGCGACAGGAGCTTGCGCTTCCCCAGGGCGTCTCACTTCGAACGGGTCACGGTACATTTTCGGGAACGACACTACTCGGCAATACCCATTTTCGCTGCTGTGTTGGGCAGTGGAGGTGTCGCTGCTCACTAGATCGACATTTGGCTCTGCTTTTTCTTTTACTTCGGGCGACTGCATGGCGTTTTCATCAGGTGGAAGGGAACGTTCTGAAATTGGGAAATGGGATGGATTGATTGAACGCGGGATTCGGAAACGCGTGCGATCTCCTCTTTGCAGCATTTAATTGTGCTCCAATCATACCCGAATTCCGACTTCGACACTTTCTCGACGACCGACAACGACGACGGCTGGCGTTTACTACTGCCCCTTTTTGGCGGCTTTGCATGGGCTTAAGGAGCTTCTCCTCCTCGCCGACCTAACGACTTGACCTGCTGTGCTTCTCCAATCCGGCAAAGGAAGCACATGGCGGGCTGAGTGATGGGTCATGTGGCGATCATGGGAGTGGAGTTTTCTTGATTTCAGAAATGGGCTGCATGTAAAGGGGGGGTGCAAAACAAAAAGTAACTCTTTGCTTTTCAGAGGATACCTCGATAGACTTGTTTCTGTTATGCGAAGAATAGCAATGGCAGTGTGTCTGTCTGTGTGGTATGCATCTGAGGAGCGTCTTTTCTCAAGAGCTGAGTGAGCGCCGGCTTCTTCTGCGAGCAATATGTATTGGAGCGTTTTGTGCTGCGATGCTTCTTCAGATTGCGCGCTAGGTGTGATGATGAAGACAAATTGGGAATAGCCCAGCGTATTTGATGTGCTTTAGATACAACTCTCTCTCTCTCCGTCTCCTGACTGTGATTATTACCTTCTCCCTCCCCTCCTGACCTCCTGAATCGCCTGCCTCCTCAACTGCGACTCCGCAAACAGCGCCTCAATCAGCCCCACGACCTCTTCCGCCTCGAACTCCAAGGACAATTCCCCTTCTTTCCACAGATACCTGATATCCGCCAGACTACTCTCCAGAATCTCCGCCAGGTACTGGAATTTCAACCACGAGGGGCAATAGATGAACGTCATGTCTCTCGTTTCTCCTCCGGCTTCGCCTTCTCCGTTCGCTTCTTGATAGAAGAGATCCCTGGCGGTACTGACGTGAGCGCAGAGCTTGCCCAGCTGTCTGGATTCCTCCTCGCCGATATCCGGGAGGTCTTCGATCTGCGAGGTCATTCGGGAAGTGATGGTGTGGAGGAGGGAGCCGAGGGATTGCAAGAGAGCGGAGTGGGAGAGGATGGGGGTCCATTGCGTGTGGACGTCTCGGAGTCGGTCGATGGTTTGGGAGACGGCCTCGATGGCTTGGGAGCGGAAGGGTTCGGCGGTGCAGTTGGCGAAGTCTTGCGCGCCGTCGAGGAGATCGCGGAGGATGGTGCGTTGGGAGTCCATTTCGGAGGTGTAGGCCCTCTTGGCGAATTGCTCGAGGGCTTCGGTGTCCTTTTGAAGGCGGAGTTTGGCGGCCTGCGGGGAGGTTTTCTGCCATTGGAGGAGTTGGTCGGAGAGGCGATTGGCGTCGTTGTAGATTAGCATGCTGCCTGTGGGCAGTTTGGAGTAGGCAGTGGGTGCTGTTGCGCGGTAGATTGCGAGGGCGAGATTGGGGAGTTGGTAGAGGCCTGCGGAAGCGGGTGCGAGAGGTGTGTTGGTATAGGATGGGCCCGAGAGCGTTTCGGCATCGTGGATTACGGACTGGATTTGGACGAGGAGATTTTCTGGGACGGACGTTACGGTGAAGGTCTCGCGGAGCGTCATTTCCTGTTCTTGGGCCTGCTGAGGTGGGTCGCCGTTTGTCTTGGCGAGATCTTTTTTGGCGGCTTTGGGACTTGCAGGCGCATTCTCATCGCCATCTCCCCATCCCCAAGCCTCGTCATCGTCTCCCGCATCTTCTTTTGCTGGTTCATCACCTTCCACGTCCCAAGCGCTAGTACCGTCGTCCTCGTCTGCAGCTGCGGGCTGCTCCTCGGGCTCATCCCAAGCCGTGTCCCAGTCATCGTCACCAGTTTGTCCGCCTTGAGCAAGAGCGTCATCCTTGGCGATGACCTGCGTTTCGACTCGTTCAACAGTCTTAGTCTCTCGCAAACCAGTGAACACCAAGTTGCGTACGTCCCCAAGAATGACTTCTCGTCGCTTCCTCAGCCAAGTGGGCGATACGTTGTCAAGCCATTCCCGGAGACCTTTACCCCCATATAACTGTTTCTCGTCGATGAAGTCTGCGAAGTCGAGGATTTCTTCCAGCAATCTTTGGAACGCCGGCACCTCGGAGAGTTGCAAAGGAACGGAAGGCTCAAGCCATTCCTCTTCGAGACGTGATGAGAGGGTGGGGAGCAACATGTCCGACAGTGGAGCAGCAACATCTGCCGGGAGTTGTCTGACCAGAAAATCGAGGATAGCTTTGAGGTCCGCGAAGAGCTGCCCGGTTGAGGGATCGGCCTCATTTTTGCAGTAGATTTCGTCTCCATCCACATATACCCTAGGCAATGAACCGTTGTGACCAATCATTCTGGGTCGCAATATTACTCTGTCGAAAGCCTTGGCGAGCTTCTCGAGCAAGTCATCGAAAATACCCAAAGCTTTACCTGTCTTGACCAGCTCCTCCACACCGGATTTGATGACGGCCTGATGTCCTTCGCCAACAATAATGTGCTGGTTCCAGCCCTCGATGACAGCTTCTTGGAGTCGTTCACGAAGCTTCTCAGCTCTTCTGCCCAGCAACATGCCAACACCGCTGCCTCCGCCAGCGCCAAGGCCATTGGTACTCTCTTCTGCCTCCTCTAGCCTTTTCAAGCCACGTCCGAATTGTCCCTTTACGATGCACTCTTGCACATCTTCCAGCACTTCCTTCGCATGCCTGATATGGTCCAACCGTGCGGCTACACTCTCCTGGAATGCCACTTCGTTCTCCAACAAGTCAACCTTCCGCTTCCTGTCCTCAACCTTCGACTTTAGCTCCTTTCCAGCTTCGGCATCTGCAACAATCTGTCTCGCGGTCTCCCTGCTCCTCAAGATGTCCGCCTGCAGCTCTTTCGCGCGCGATATCCAAGTATCGATGTCTGAGGATGCATCCTTGCCTATACTGCGGATTTCCTCTTTCACTTGGTCTTGCGATTGGGAGAGTCGTTTGCTGAGATCTTGAAGGAGTGAGGACGAGAGTCCGGCGGAAGCGATTTGTTCGGAGTCCGGATAGGCGGATTGGTCGATATATTGCAGTATCGCCGGCGTGATGGCCTCGGCGGACATGCTGGCGATTGGGTTGTTGTGCAGGATTGTACGAAGACGTGTGAGGTGTCCTCATAACATGTGGCTGCCTTTCGAAGACTAGCTCGACCTGGATCGGACCGAAGTCCGAGCTCTCTCCATTCACTTCATCTTTCCTCCCGAGTTTCCTTCTGCCTTTCCCTTCTCAATCACAGACAACGGTACCGTTGGCACTCTACGCAGTCGCCGCGATGATATTTATTCTAGACTCATGATCCCTTACACGAAATCATTTTGTCCACAATTCTTCCCGCCACTTTGTAATCGCCACGGACACTGGTGGGGAATGTTGGTTCGCAGAACCGGTGGTCCATGCATGTTCAAGAGATGACATTATTTTGCTCACGACTCGGTAACGAAATTTCGATCCCAAAGGATGTGTCAAAATGGCGATCCGACATTCTTCTGGCAAGGACAGAAGGTCTTGTCAGTTGGTGTTCAAATCCCTCGCGTCCGCGGAGCTGGATTTGAAGCTTTTTGTGTCGACAGTAGCTTTTTCGTAGCCACTGTTCGAGGGCTTTGAGGACGACAAAAGATGGCCCTCTTCCTGGACTCTGGTCACGAGCAACGCACCTGGCTTGAGCTTGTACCTAGTTCTATCTTTCCACTTGGTCATACTCCCTAAGATCTGCGTTTGGCACCTCCAGTCCGCGGTCGATCGCTGCTCTTCCAAGTTCTTGAACGGCGTGAATGACATCTTTCCTCGGGCAGGTCTAATATTCGTGGGCCGTCACGACGAATGCGTAGCCAATTGACTGTTGTTGGTTTGTCTTGAAGACCAGGTTGGGAGTGGACCGGCTTAGATATAAAGACAGGTCTTGCAAGTGCCTGTCAAAGCCTACATGAGCAACGCAACCATCCCACATCCAGCTGGACACTTCCAAGATCAACGCTTTATCTTCGCTTCTTCTCGCCATCTCAGCTTTGGCTGGCCTTGCCTCCTCGCTTGTATTTACCGAGACGACGTCCTTGAATCTTCAAATCCCCGTTTGTGGTGTACCAGAGGGTCCTGGCAGCGACTGCGCAGCATATCCCGACGCCGACAAGACGTTCTCCAACTTCCACGAAAGCGATCTGGACCATTTGACCTGGAAGCAATGCCATGATACTTGTCGTGACGACAGCCGTTGCAAGTCGTTTCGCTACATCATTCTCTCCGGCCTGAGTCATTCTTGCTCATGGCTGCCATTGATATTCCATTTTAGTATTACCCAGACGCTTCCGTTGCTTGCAATCACTTCGGTGTTCCAACTTCAGAATTGATTCAGCTATGCGAAAACTACGGCAGCCATCCCAATATCTTCACCTTCGAAGCACGCCTGGATAGGGAGTGTCTGGGCATAGCACGTCAAGTGAACGGAACCGCTCCATCGTAGGAAGATTCCCTCCGTGACACTTCTCACGTCCTCAGTATGTCACTCAGCCCTCCACTCTACCAATGTTTTCTGATCACCCAACTCCATCATAAACATGAGGAGAAAGTCCGCCGGCAACACGATGAAAGCCTACACGGAGACCATGGACATGCTGGACATGAAGTAATGCTCCTCTCTGGTCAGAGCGCCCTGGACTGGCTGTCATACTACCGGGCACCATATGCTCACGAAGAGAAGACCGTCACGGGACCCGATGGTAATAGTACCCAGAGCTCCGCAGAACGAACCATCGACGCAATGCTTGCTTCTGAGTCAGGATGTGCGCAGTCGGACGGATTACGATCTGACGGAGACGTCGCACTCGCTCGACAACCGGTCTTCGACGTCAATCGCAATACGGCGTCGACCACGTCTTGAGTAGGATTTCCAACACGAACAACTAATAATCGTTTTTCCAAAGAAAGAGCATTCTTGACTCACAGACAGAGAGGCCGAATGACTCTTACCGCTTCGGCTGGAATTGGAAGTCATCGATTCGCAGGCGCTGCTTTGTGGAGGGTACCTACGCCGCGAAAACGACACTTGCCGCAGGAGATGAATAGCCTTGGTGACTTCTTGGGATACTACCGTACAGAGTACACCGCATTTGGAAGCAGCGGTCATGTAATCGCGGCACGTGCAATATGCTTGCAACGCCGATGGTTACTGAGAAGGATAGAGCGACCCGATAGGCTGCTGCAGTGCACAAGGTACACTACATCTAAGACCAGTCTTGCTTCGCCGTTGGTGAGCAAGGACGTATATATGTAGCAGGGGGATTGTTCGTCAATCTATCGTGATTCGCACGAGCTGAGGCAGATAGTGCGCAAACAAAACGTCTTTCCCTGTTCGGTCATGAATAATATCGATCTAGCAATTGCAGCTCGCCTTGACGCTTCAATAGATGGCGTGACCGGCATATAGATTAATAATATCTCGGGGCCACGTGAGATAGAGGCGAGCATGCAAGTCGTCATCGCCATGCCGTTCCGGGCATGTGCAGCAATATATATCTGCAGGCGCGCGCGAAGCGGACCTGGCCTATGCTGAGAGGGGCCTGGAGAATGAATGGATGCTCAAGCACAAGATGTGTGTGTGGATGTAGCGGATTCTCGGAGGTACGGCGGATGGGCACTGTGCACGCTCGTCATGCGATCGCTGATCCTCTATCGACTGCGTGAGAGTGATACTTGGAGGTTCGTCTGCAGGTTGGTTCAAGCTGTCGCTGAAGAAGTGAACAGCTAGCTACATGCCGAGGTGGGTACATGTATGCAGCGATGGAAGTGACGACGCGGATGCGGAAGTGGAAGCGGCCGACGAGCGTCCCCGCCCGCTACCCGATAAGCTATCCTGAATGATGTATGATTTTCCTTTGAGGCGTCAGCATCCGCGCGAGCAGTCGTAGTAGTAGTAGTAGTGGTTCACAGCAACCAAGCTGGCGATGGTCTGATGATGGCGGTTCCCCTGAGACCTGCAGGGCGGCGACATGCTGCTGCAGTAGCTCGGCAAAGCTTGGAAGAAGTAAGGTAAGGTATGCTTCTCAGCTTGGAGATCGCATTCAGGCGAAGTGGGTCGTGGAGGGCAAGATGACTCTCGGTCGTCCCCGTCAATGGGAGCGTACTGGATGGATCCGTGAGATGCTTCGTGTTGATGCGCTGAAGATGAGATGGCGCCGCGACGTGAAATGTGAGACGGAGCGTGGGGAGCGTGGAAGTCTTGGCGGATGTGTGGGGAATCATTACAACCTACCTAACCAGGAAGGATTGGATTTCGTATGCGGAGCACGGACGGAGACGTCGGAAATGATACTGTGAGCCAAGGAAGCTTGGAAGTTGGGAGACGGAACTTTTTGAGTTGCAGCTCCCAGACCAGATGACACACGAACGCCGACCGTGCGCCGAGCGCTTCGGCAGGTGGCGAGAGGCGAGAGGCGAGGCGGGCAGATTGGCTCCCGCCCACCTCCTCACGGAATCATTGCCTTACCTTACTGTTACCTTACTGTTACCTTACTGTTACCTTACCTCGAGGTGGGAGAGGATGCTGTTCGCGACAGACCAATACTAGTGTCTCGTGTCATCAAGCAGAAGGTCGGCGGACGCCAATGCCAGGCGCGCGAGATTGCGGACGAGTTGGAGGGGTGCTGGTGTGCTGGTGCTTGGGACGGGCCACGGCTGGCTAGCTCTAGCAGCGACATCGAGTCGTACACCCCCGGTTGGGCACTTCTGAAACGCCGCAGTGCAGATCGTGCGCGATTCGATTGGCAGCCGCGACGACGAGGCACGCAATCCTCTCATCTCTCGTCTGGTAGGGCTGCGACACGACCGGAAACGAAGAGAGGAGGTCGCGACGAGGAGGCTGGTCAGGTGGTGATGAACGTGGTAGTGGTATAATAAGGTACATGTGTGCATGTACTGTATCTCGTAAAGATGAACGCTAAGAGCGGGATCCGCCGACAGCCGTGGTGAAGCTGGAAGCTGCGTGATGAGTGGATAGGATTGCATCTCGTCGTCTCTGCGTACAGTAGGATGATCCCCGTTCTCCTGCACTGTACAGACGCCACGCCACCAGAATACACGCCATATACTTTATAATATTACACGCTGTACAGCGCACCCGCTGCTGCGCTGTCCATGCCGCGTCGCGTCCTCGTCACCAAATGTTCACTGCTGTCGCCGCCGTCGCTGTCGCTGTCGCTGTCGCTGTCGCTGTCGCTGTCGCTGTCGCTGTCGCTGTCGCTGTCGCTGCTCTTCTGACGGCGTAGGCACCCGCTCGCAGCACAGGGACAGCCTCCGTGGCAGACGGGCCTTGGAGCAGCGTCGGTGGGCGCCAGTCTCATTCGCCAGCCCTCCCAGCGCTAGCACACGACAGACCAGGGCGACTTATCACAGGTCATCATCAGCAGCATGGACGCAAAACCCTTGCCGCCCTCTGCTCGCTCGCATCCACTGCCACTGCACCAGCCAATCGTCGCCGTCGCTCGACCCGTCAAGAGCTCTCCTCCAAGCACACCAAGCACCCGTTTGCCAGCCGACACGGCAGCTCTCCAACAATCACCGCCCACCGCCCACTCCTCCTCGTCACAGGGCCACGGCCAACAACCTGACCGCGACGCCGCCGCTCCCACCACCACCCCTCGACACGCACCTCTCAGGGCGCCCGATCCCGCCAAGAGAGTGACCACCGGCAAAAACGATGCTCTCCGCGACGCTATCGACCGTCACGCAGTGAGGGAGCAGCTTCACACGCAGCAGCAATCGCAGCACCATTCGCCGCAAAACACCCCCAGCTACCACTCCAGGCAGGCCGCGCAACCCGCGGTCCCAGCCGCCGCACCGCACGCCTCACCTCCTGCCTCTCCCAAAACCATGTCCACCAGCAGCGCGGCCTCTCGCCAGCCTGCTGCTGCTGCTGCTGCTGCTGCTGCTGCTGCGCCCCTCATGGCCCATCGCACTGCGTCGATTGATTCGACCGTCTCGACGCTATCTTCGACCTCACAGCGACCGAATGGGGGAAATTCCTACCGGGTATCCGAGTCGGCCACGCCTCAGGATGTTGCCGCCTTCATATCTGCAGCCGGTTCTGCAGACGCCGCGGTACAGAAGCTGCTCACAGAGAAGCAGCAAGCCGCTTCTCACAACGCGCAGCTGTGGAGATTGGTGGAAAAGCAGCGAGCTATGATTCTGGGCTTGAACAAGGATCTGGAAAAGGCCTTGAAGGAGAAGGAGCGCTACAGGCGGAAGCTGAAGGAACAGCTGGCCCAGTCTACATCGGCGCCTGCGTTGATAACCTCCACCGGACGAGCCGACGGATTGGACTCTCAAGATGCCAGCTCGAGCTCTTCGCACGTCGGACAGCCTTCAGATGCGTCACGCGACATCAGTGTCGACACGCGGAAGACAAGCGATGCCTCAGAGGTGCTGTCAGCAATCGCTGGTCGTTCAGATACGCCTCAAGATGCACCGTATGGAACGTCCTCGGCGCTGCCAGCAACACCGCAGTCTGCGGATAGCATAAAGAGCGGGCAGCGAGAGCTCGACCGCGCAGAAGTGACGCCTGTCGCGCCCCAGGGACCTTTTGACGCGAAACCCGCAATCGCGACAGTCCAACACGCACCCAAGACTCACACTCCTCCAATGTCTCCCAAACTGGTCACGGTTTCACAGTCGTCACATGGCCACCAGAAGAGCATGTCCAACTCCTCCGCACAGCAGAGCCCGCCTCCATCTGCAGTTTCAATGTCCAGCCCCAAGACGAGGAAAGCTCCTCCCGCACCGCTGAAACTCGATGCATCGCGGTCTGATCCCGCTGTCGCCAATAACATCATTGACGCGTCCGATTCCGAATACGAACAAGATCCCGAAAGCGCACGCTCGGAGTACATTGAGCGAGGTCGTAGAAAGACGCGGGAAGACGATGATCGCGAGCGAGTGGTGTTGGCGCGACAAGAAGAGGAGCAGCGGAGCAAGTCGGAGACGGGGAAGAAGAGCAACAGTCGACCTACTGAGCCTATGCAAGCTGCTGCACCACACAGGCATCCTTCCCGGGGTGCATCGCGTCAACAGCCGGTTTTCGAACCCACCGCCAACCCGACGGAACTTTTACGGAGCCGCGCCGTCTCGGGCGCCACTGAAATGCTGCAGCGCAACAACACCGCACCCAGTCTGATGAGTCCCGGACTACCGATGAGCCCACGCCCAGGAGACAGGCCACCCAACTCTCCAATGCCGCGCGCGCCTACTGCGGCAACGATCTCAATCCCTATGTCTCCGAAACATGGCCTGCCCCTGTCGCCCCGTGCACCGCGACAAGCAATCCCTTTACCTCCTCAGACACCAATGTCGAGCATGTCGCCCCACCTAGACAGAGTCAAGAACTATAATCTGCATCCAGGATCCATCTCTACCATTGCTGATCGACTGAAGCCGACATCTGCAGCGGGTGATGCCGAAGAGAGGGCGTCGATCTCTACTACCGACACCGCCGCTGCGTCGCCTGGCGAGATCTACCTGGGCTTAATGACAGACGAGTATCCGGGATTGCTACTTCCGCCCAACGCGTTGCCGTCGATCTTCGTGAAGACATCCTCTTCGCGAATGAAGCCTTCGCGCGCAAGCTTCATCGCACCAAAGACCGCTGATGAGAACCCGGTGTTCACACTGGCAGTTTTTTCCCGAAGCGACATGAGACAATTGTGGCGTGTGGAGAAGACATACCATGCGCTTGCGAGCTTAGATCAGAATGTCAAGGGGCTTGTCACAGTCCGGGATCGCTTGCCCGAGAAGCAGCTGTTTGCTGGGCACTCTCCCGCCAAGATTGATGCCAGAAGAATGGCGCTGAATCATTACTTCGAGCGAATGCTGGATTCTGTCACGAATGAGAAGGCGGCATTGGTCGTGTGCAAGTTCCTGTCGACAGATACAGTCGGGGGCGAGGGCAGTGACTACTTCAACAACAGTACCACGACTCTCGATGGGAGGCCCGATTCGCCGCTCACAAAGCTGAGACCGAACATGGCAGGCTACCTCACAAAGCGCGGCAAGAACTTTGGAGGGTGGAAGGCGCGGTACTTCGTGCTCGACGGACCAAATCTGAAGTATTTCGAGAGCCGTGGTGGTGCCCAATCCGGGTCCATCAAGCTTCAGAATGCCCAGATAGGCAAGCAGTCAACAAACGCATCAGCTCATCAAGAAGACGAGGAAAACCAGTTCCGACATGCATTCCTGATCTTGGAGCCCAAGAAAAAGGACTCCACCAGCCTTGTGCGCCACGTTCTATGCGCGGAGAGCGACGAAGAGCGCGATGCTTGGGTGGAAGCCCTTCTCCAATACGTCGACTACAAGGACGACGAGGAGCCACAACCTGGCCGTCAAGCGCAGGTTTCCAAATACGAAATCAGCGGTCCGAGAAGTCCACGATTACAAAAGTCCATGACCGATCTCCGGGCCGAGTCCAAGAGCAGTATAGGGAGCACGACATCGAGGTCCATTGATCAAGTGCGGACTGTCAACTACAGTGAGACCGTGGCTGGAGAAGCTCCAGTCATGGTACCACCGAGCAGTCAAAGTCCCTCGCCTCCTTTCGAACAGCCAGCAAGCGCCGCGCCAGAGCATCCTCTGGTGCATCCCGCAATCTCGGGACCGACCAATGCCCAGCGTATTCAGGACGCCAGCGATTGGGGAATGAAGCCGCCACCTACGCCGGGCGCCAAAGACAAGAAGCGTAGCATGTTCTCGAACTTGCCGTTCACCCGCGGCCGCTCCTCGTCTGATCTGGCGCCTGAGAATGTGAAGTCGCCGGGCTATGCTTCTGTCTCCAACCGTGGCATCTTTGGCGTGCCACTTGCCGAGGCCGTGGCATCTGCACAGCCTGATGACGCTACCACTGAGTTACCCGCTGTCGTCTACCGGTGCATCGAATACCTGACAGCCAGAAACGCCATCGCAGAAGAGGGTATATTCCGGCTGTCAGGCTCCAACACTGTCATCCGAGCTTTGAAGGACCGCTTCAATGCTGAAGGCGACGTCAACTTACTTGCCGATGAGAACTATTACGACGTGCACGCTGTAGCTAGCTTGCTGAAGATGTATCTTCGCGAGCTGCCCGCCAGCATCCTAACGCGTGACTTGCACTTGGACTTCTTGAAATGCTTAGAGATCTCTGGGGACGAAAAGGTGATTGCGATCAACAATCTGGTCAACAGGCTTCCTGCAGCCAACCGCGCGCTTCTCGAAGCGCTGTCGGCTTTTATGCTTTTAGTTGTCAACAACGTGGAGGCCAACAAGATGAACGTCCGCAACCGTAAGTTTACCTTAGCTCTCGCTCTATTACCAGTGTACTGACAATCGCAGTTGGCGTCGTCTTTTCGCCCACACTGAACCTGCCTGGGCCTCTCATCTCCTTACTTGTCGAAGAGCAACGTACGATTTTCGGTCCTGAGCTTGTACCCGGCGAGTCTACCAGCGTGCCGCAGGAGACAGCGAAACAGACATCGCCCTCATCCACGGACCTTCGCTCCCCACGGAAACAGATCTTCACCGACCTGCCGACACCAGCCTACAACCAGACACAATTTCAGTCTCTTGGCGGCCCCCATCAGCAGGATGATACTGGGTTCACGCCCATGCATCCCACATATGCCGCCTATCACATGGCTCCACAGGGAGACGGCGGATTTGGCAGTCTGAATGATGCCTTACGATCACCCACCGTATACGGGACCACTGGAACCGGCGAGCCCACACCTCGGGATGTCAAAGCCCGACGACGAGAAAGCGGCATGCTTGTCGTCAATAATGGAATGGGACCGGCGAAGAAGACGTCCATGTCACGACTTCGGGAGGAGCCGAGCCCAAGCTTTTGATGTGGCCGACGGAGCAGGACACGATACACTACACTCGCCATTCTTACAATACGATACCAATTCAACTAATCAGGCGTTTCTCGAACGGACGGAAATTGACGCCTGCTAATCGCGGCGCAGAATATGGATGGAGATGGATATGAATGTGGAATGACGGAAAGAATGCACACTGCGCCTGGGTTATAGAGGGATCGCAGGGAGGAATAATTTTCTTGGGCCCACTCGCTATGTCGGGCCCTTTTTATTTTTCGTTTGATGGCGACGCGGCCTTTTTTGATTCTTTTTGCAGCGATGCATCATACCCCATTCGTTGGGTGCCCTGTCTCTGTGGCACCATACGGTTTAGCGTTCGAGCGGAAGTGGAGACGAATTTGATTGTTCTGTCAGGAAGACTCTTTTTGCTTGGCATGGAGACTATGGAGGGCATGGATACAGTACTGGGATGGAATCAGCTCCGACTAGCGGATTGGAAGTACTTTTATTTATTTTCTGGTTGTAGTGTATGAGTGTTATTATTATTATCGGACAGTGGAGGAGGTGAGAACGGAGAGAAGGAATTGCGAAAATGAAGTTTGTACAGACGATGATCACTTCTTCCATTTCCTTCGTCAACGAAGAAAACTCCTTGGCGCATTACGGAAACATCTCTCTTGCCTGCACGCTTTGCCATCTAGATCACACTAGGCGCCGCTCCGGGTCTGGTTGTACTGAAATGCGGGTAGTATGGATGTTGCCAGACGAAGATTGCTTTTGTTGTTTGGACGATGTAGGTTCCGTTGAAGAGGAGTTGGATTTGACGCGGTGTTGGGAGGGTTTTGTGTGGGCCGGCGGAAGTGGCTAGCTTCAGGGCGAGGTTCATTAAGCTGGAGATAGATGGACTGTTCAGTTGTTGAAGATCTCGACAGTTTTTTTTTATTTGAGTAATCGAAATAGCGGTAGTGGTGTTTATTGATGATGGTTGAAGAACTGTCGGTATGCTTACTCGGACGTTGCGACGTTGGATGGCTATCTCAGGCTTAATTATCTCTTCGGATAGGTTGTCGAGTGTGTGTACGTACTCGATTATGCATGATTTTGATTGAGTTGTAGCGTTTGTTATGGCGATTTGGTATCGAAGTGGTACTACGTTTCAAGAGGTGAGGTTGGTGGTTTGTCAGCAGATCGAGATACAGGCGGGGAGCTTGCAACTTCCTCCTCTTCCTCTTCTCTTCCACTTTTCTGCCAATATCAACTTCGCTCTATTATCTCTCTCCGTTTACTCGTATCAATTTCTTCCCATACGAGTAGCTTTCTTTCTTTCTTGATGCCAAGACCATCGTGTCTACAAAGTCGAGTTTGACCTCGTGATATCCGGGATAATGCACCTCCAAGCCACCACGTGGCCCACTGCGTTCCAATAGTTGATCACAACCACGGAGCTCACCGAAGCTTTTGTGGCTTGCAAGTCTCAACTGGGTTCAGCAAAAGAGACGAGTCGAACAGAGCTTATAACCCCCTCAAGAAGCATGGCCGGCGGTATCCTGTGCGTCCGCGTAAAAGAGGCAAGGATGCGATCCACACATCTATCTAGAGCTGGAGGTGGAACCTACACGCCCTACCAATATTGAATCTGGATTCTACGAGGAGCTGGCTCTGCTGCTGTTCACGGTAAGTGTGGTATGGTACGGTACAGCTGAGCAGAATGACAGGATGCGTGGCTGCAACCTTGATGCGATCTCGTCGAATGACAGCGCTGGCCAAGCGAAGGAGCATCACGCCAGTGCCGTATTCTACTGTTCGAACACCTGAGGCTGGACCCGCTATCAGGACGTCGCTAGTGCTTGCCCGGAGAATAGACGATAGAGCATACATGTATTCGCTCTGCACCACTCGGCCCTCACCGAGCGCATGCAGTCAGCTTTCACGAATCCATCCCGTCTTCCACCTGCAGCTAGACTGGATTCGAGGCCGCCGTCATGCTCCGCTCGGTAGTCTATCTGGTCGCAGGTGCTTGGACGAGCGTTCTGGCGAGATCCCACATGCGAGCAACCGAGTCTAGTCGCTTCGGCGGCCTCCCAGCGCCTGCCGAGCCTGTATGTCTGAGCTCACGTAGAGCGAGCTCGTTGGGCGTATATCCAGAGCATGAGCGCCTGAACAAGAACTGCCCTTCTCCCTTCCCTTCGCATCTCCGTCCAGCCTAACGTGATTTACAGCGCGCCAACAGCATAGTTTCTGGTGCAACGACAGCCATGGATATCTACAAGGGAGTGTGGTACGACCATGCTACTCGCAAGCTTGTACTCACTCTCAGTCCCGGCGCCGCTGGATTCCTGACCGCCGCGGTAGTTACATGGTAAGTTACATCGTAAGCGTGGAGAGCACAGGACAGCCAGTGAAGCAGCGCTGAACAACTTCCACTTACTCGACTTCCTCCTCAGGGTCAACATCTGCGCTGCTGCCACATGGCCCATTTTCCGCTACATCCTCTACTCCGTCCGCCGACGCGTTGACACCACAAAAGACGTCTTCTATCACCAGCGACAGGCGTTGCTGAGAAACTCGACAAGCGCGACCAATGCTGCAACCCTTCTTATCAAGCTGATCTACGGGTGGAAGTCATATCGAGGACGAGCTGTCGTCCGTAGCATCGCATACCTGTCAGCTTGCGTTGTCGTTTTCGCACTCTGGCTTCTGTGCGGTCTTTACGCACCCTACATCTACACTAAGACTGGATCCGACGTCCTGCTTGCTTCATCTCCTCACTGCGGCCTACCGGTCCCTCCATTCGACTCTCTAGTAGACGATGGTCTCGTCTCGCAGATGTTCCAGATCGAAGAAGTCGCTTCAGTCACTTCATCGCGGGGCTACGTCCAGCAGTGCTATGAACAATCCAACTCTAGCAGCGCTCAGTGTACAACGTATCCGCGTCGTGCGCTGCCCATCAAGATAAGCGATACTGTCTGCCCTTTTGGCACCAATCACGACATTTGCACGACCATCAATTCGACTACTGTCCAGCTCGACACTGGCTTCCTGGACAGCAATACCGATTTTGGTAGAAAGCCCCCAAAACGACCACTTGCTTTCGTCGCAATCACTCGAAGACTTACTAACAGAGTACAGGCGTCAATGCAATGGCGAACGATAGGCTCAAGTATCGCAAAGTCGCCTCATGCTCGCCCTTCCACGCGGCCTCCTTTGTTTCAGCTTTCAATACGAGTGGCACTCCGCTAGCAGAGTCCTGGCCTCCAAACACCGTCCTGGATAGGTTCTATCTTGGACCTCTTCTAGGAAATGACTTCACCTTTCGTACGTTCTCTTCCTCCATGCAGGTGCTAGAGTTTGCAAGCTGACTTGTCCCTCAGAATACGCCCCGTATCAAGCACTCTTCCCCCTGCCGTACTACCTGAGGTAATCTAGACTACTGAACTAATGGCCTTTGAGCCGTGCTGATTGTAACAGCACCCAAGGATACTTCCCCGGTGCCCTGCCACTCGAGGGCTCCTGGCAGCTCAACAAAACATTTTACGGCGCCGAAGATGCAGATATCACCATTGCGTACCTTGAATCGAACAGCGTCACTTACCCTGCTCCGGTCTACGATCCTATATTTGCCGCTGGAATTGACGCCGACGAGCGCGTGTCCCTTGCTCTGAACAGTACATACAACTTCACTGTCTACGAGCCACACTACTCAATCAGTCTCATTGGTTGTACGGAGCAATACCAGATATGTCTTGGTGAGGATGGCGCATGTACACCACTCGTGCCCATGAACCTTCTACTACCCGCGATGTCGAACTTGAAAGGCCTAAGATTGGCGCATACAATCACCGCAGGACGCTTTTCGTTGAGCAATATCAAATCCAGTATCTCTACTGTCGCCTCCATCGGCGGCGCGAATGCACTGTTGGCGTCTCGCACTCTGGATGACCTCGAGCAGATGGCGCGACTTCCCAAAGATCAATGGCGGAGAGAAGGTATGTATTCCTGCCGACTAGAGTCGGTGAACAGTTTGCTGCAAGGTGCTGACTGCAGAAAGTCACCAATTGGTTCGCCGTCGGCCTCGCTCAGATCCAGGCCAAGATGCTCGCGTACGCCACTGGACCGAATGATCCAGCCTTCTACCCGTACCTCAACGTCAGCTCTGCTGGCTACTTGCACGGCTGCGGCAACCAACGGATTCATTCCGCTTCGGGACAGGTGAACTTCGACCTCGCTGCCCTCATCATTCTCATTGCCGTTGGAGCGGCTTTCATCGTCTTCGGCTTGGCTTTTGAATCGGTCATGGACTGGATCACGAAGCGCCGTCCACAGTGGAGGCGGAAGCACGCTGCTTGGGTTGTGGATGGGTTGTTTCAGATCCAGAAGAGGGCCTTGGAAGCCGAGGGTATCAAGGATTGGCAATTCGAGGAGAGCGAAGTGCCCATCTCCAAAGAGCAGGTCGGGTTGGTGGCGGACGAAGGCAAGTATGGGCATGTTCATGTTTCTGAGAGTCTGTTGAACGAGCCGAAGCGTTGATATCTTCATAAAGCAGAATGAATGGCCGGGGAATCTGCTGCTCTTTGTATCCTGTGGCAACAGGAGCATGAAGCTGAATAGCAAGTACAGAACGCATAGTTGTATTCAAGACTCAACAGAACGAAGCCTTCCGTGCGTGGCAAATTGCTCAAATCTCAATTCTTCTGTTCGCTCCTCTTTTCACAACACCTTTCCCTTCCTCTTCACCCCCAGCCAACGCCGCCACCCCATCTTCCCGAGTAAGCTCCATCCTCCCATTATCCTCCTGAATCTCCCTCTTCCAGCTCACCTCTACAATCCCACGCAAAATTCCCCCCCTCCGCCTGCCAAAATACTACATCCCATAATCCTGACGCTTCCAGTGGCAATTTGACCCTTTGATTCCTCGTTCGCTCCTCTTCCCGGCTATCATTGCCATTGTCCTCGGATCTGGTAAGGTCGCAGACCGGTGAGGTCTCATATCTGCAGGAAGATGATGTGAGATTAGAGTTTTGCTTGTCGGGGACGTGCTGCTGGAGAGGGGATTTTTGTTCTCATTGGGTTTTTCGAGGAATGCGGTATCGGACCAGTCGTGGAAGATTCGACGGAGGTGGCATGCTCGGGCATCTCGTATGGAGTTGGTGGAGGGAGTGAAGAAGGAATGGGGGCTGTGGTTCGATCCATTCTGGTAGACCATCATCGTTCGCAAGCGTATCTGCAATGACGGCTTCTTGGTCTTGGACAACCCTCTTTCCCTCTCAGATCTGGAACAGAACTATCTTGGATCTCATCAAAGCCTGCCCTCTTCCGCCTAAGCATAATCTTCTCTTGGGAGACAGGCGTGATTTCGAGTCTCGCGAGGAATGGATAGGGTAATTCCATCGACATACTTGTGTTGGCATTACTGTGCATTCCGCTTTGGAAGGAGTCCATTCTCTTCGGGGTTTGTTGCATCCCTCCGCGCATTCCCAGATTCGTTTGATCTCCGAATTGGAAAGCGCAGCAGGCATTGTAGTCTATTGCTTGTATAGTGCCTACTGGATCGGTAGCGCAGGGTTTCTTTGCCTCGTGGGCTTTGAACCGGCAAGTTAGAGGGCTCACACCAAGGTGTAGAGCGATCATATTGTATAGCATGGGTCTTGCTCGCCATGAAAGCACGGATGCGCATCGCTGATGGTCGGAGACGCGTTTTGAAGTGGCGAATGCGGTTTCCCGATATGCTGCTTCGATGCTGGGATCGAAAGATTGCCGGTAACCATGTCCCGCAACTCGGATGGCTGTCTGTTGAGGGCGTTGGATACTACGATGTTGTTTGACGGAGGTGCTGCTGTAAATCTTGCCGTGGAGGCCAGCAGGAAAAGATGCTGTGGCTTGTCAGTAGGGAAATGACGATTGCGCAACAGCAGCAGAGATAACACTCATCGATATTGCGGCCTTGCTAGAGCAGCGGATGTCTCTTCTGCGCTTGGCTCAGAAGCCATTTCAGCCATTCCGTCACTTCCAAAAAAAAAAAAAAAAATCTTAACGGATTATATGACCGAAGACTTTATGGTTCGTCTGCAGGTGTGCGCCGCTGGGTAGTGGAGAGCAGAGATTTGAGCAAGTGGTTCATTCAGCCGGAGGCAGTGCACATTCCGCTCCGGATCTCTCTTGCGTTTCCGTTTTGGTAATGCTCATGTACAAAGCGCAGTTGTCTTATACTTTTCGACTGGACGCTGAAACACATATCGGCTCCGCGAATTTGGGGCGCCACTATTCTTTGCCTGCTCTTGCAAGACACCACTCGGTGGTGACGACCTCTCGCCAGAAGCACCTAGACTGTGCGAGGAAGATTTCATTCCAAGCTCCCAGACAGCCAAGGATCCGCCTATCGCGAGTTCTTCCTCTCAGTAGCTCTCCTCTTGAACCTCACCATAGCTCGCCTTCTCTCACCACCATCGATCTTGCGTCCTCTCTTCTGTTCCCAAAGCCCTTCCTGGACCCGCAGCTTTGCCACACCCTGATGTCCCTTTACGTACTCCACACCCGTGCCGCCAATAGTGCTGCCTTGCACGATCTTCATGCCTTTCACAACGTGCGCCTGCTTCGGACTCATCCTCATTGGAGGCGCAAGTGCTTCCAGGACATTCTTCTTCCGCTCTTTCGGCCTCGGGTTGGCTGGATCCTCTGGTAAGACCACTGTCGGTGGAACGTTTACCACCACTTTCTTCATCCCCTCGTCTTGGGAAATCGTAGCGTGAAGTTTCTCGTTTGGTATTTCAGCTATCCGTAATTCTGCGATTCCATCTTTGACTTCCTTGAGGTCTCCGCCAATGCCCATTATCCCGTTTCGAAAGCGTTCGCGCCACCACATGAGATATCGTCGTGCCCGCGCGGGCTCGATGCCGGATGCTTTGAGTTGTTGGCCGGAGAGGCTGAAGAGGGCTTCCCAGGAGGGAATTTTGGCGGCGTGTGCGGACATGTTGCGGCCGATGAGGGTGAGGAAAGCGGTGGGGTCTGGAACGAATGGTGTGGGTTTAGGAATGCCTGGAAAGAGATGTCAATGGTGCAAGTAGGATGGTATAGTGAGAGAGGCATACGGATTGCTGGCGCGTTGAGCTTGTGAAGAGCGCGAACCTGTTGGCGCTGACATTGGATGCATGTCGAGGTCCGTAGCGGAGATGGGAGAGACAACAGCGGGAGAGAGCGCTTGGCGGCCATGATATGAGTGAATGGTCAAGAGAAAGGCATGTGATTGTGGGCATGTGATCGTAACGAGATGGTTGTTAGCGAGAGTGAAGTCCGAAGTGAAACCCCCGAGAAGCTCCGCAGCCTGCGTGCAATCTATACCGTGTCACGTGTCCGACTCGAGCCACACCTTCACATGTGAACTTCACTAAACCATCACCCCACTCTAAAGCGAATTCGGACGACACCGTGGGGACAGTTCTGCAGCATATCGGAAAGCTGCACGATGTCTGGAATCACCTGATAGCCCCCTAGCGCCCTCCAATCCCCCATTCCGACATCACGCTCCCACCTATTGGAAACAACACCACCTCCAAACATGGCTTCGGACACGAAGAAGCACGCCGCCAAATCGCCCGCACTCGACGTGCCACCCGAGCCGCCGTTCAAACGATTGAAGCTCTCCCCTCAGCCGGGAAAACGAGCGCAGAACGGGCATCACTCCAGCACACCCGCCTCACCCTCGGCCGACTTCCCTCTTGTCGCCGATCTGGCCGAACAACTCGACACCCAAGAGCGCAACAAGTACGTCAAGGGCAAGAAGCTCGGCAGTGGTCAGTATGCCGACGTCTTCTCCGCCCATCTGGTTGAGGACCCCACGAAACTCGTCGCGATCAAGAAAATCAAGGTCGGGGATGAGATCAAAGAGATGGGCATATCATATGATAGCTTGAGGGAAATCAAGTTCCTGCAGGAATTGGACCACCCGAACATCATCAAGCTGTTTGCGGTCTACTCGACGAAGGACCAGAATCTGAATCTAGTGTTGGAGCAGCTTCCGCAGGGGGATCTATTGAAGTTGATCCATGATACCAGCATCATGTACACGGCCAGCGATGTCAAGTCTTGGATGTTAATGCTGTGTAGGGCAGTCCATTTCTGCCACGCAAACTTCGTTCTACACCGGGACATCAAGCCCAACAATCTACTCATCGCTGCGAATGGACAGATCAAATTGGCAGATTTCGGTCTGGCTAGGAGTTTTGCGGATCCCTACGCATTGATGACGCCCACCACCATCACCATCTGGTATCGCCCTCCAGAACTTTTCTTCGGCGCTCGACACTATGGTGGCGCGGTGGATGTCTGGTCCTGCGGCTGTGTCTTTGCCGAATTGGCCAACCGCGAGGTTCTCTTCCGCGCCTGGCCCGAGAGCACCCTCAACATGCTCGAGCTCATCAACCAGAAAGTTGGCACGCCCACAGACGAGAACTGGCCTGGCGTCTCGAAACTGCCAGAGTACGTCAAGTCGTCGACACAGTATGCTGTCAAATCGAAAGACTATTGGAGGGAGACGTTTAGAACTTCAGGCGAGACGGGTGTCGATCTCATGATGAAGATGCTACTGCTGGATCCCAGGAAGCGATTGACTGCCCAGGGGATCCTGGAGCATGAGTACTGGACCAGCGAGCCCCGGCCGACTCCGTTGAAGGATTTACCGAGAAAGGGTGGCGGAATAGAGACAATGGGCGAGGATCTGAAGCGGAGGGGATGCGAGCTGCCAGTGGAGGAAGAAGGGAGGGAGCGAGGCGACAAGGTCGCCAGGAAAATTGACTTTGGGATCGGGCGATGATTTGGAAAGGCATGCACGACAGACTGGAATTCCGCCTTCTCGGAGGAATGAATGAACGAAAGTGTACGATACCATGAGACGAGAACAAGGAAATTTACTGGCCTAGAACCCCAACGAATGCTTTGGACCGGATGCGGAACGAGGTCCACCACTTCTCCTATTTCTCCTTAGACTTCTACGCACTAGCTGGATTTAGTCTCAATGCCCTCACTCCAAAGCGCTTGACCCACGGTCGAAAAGGCCGACCAAGCACATTCTTGCTGCAACAGCGCGACAATGGAACAGGATCGGAGTGCAATTGCGAAGACCGAGAAAGCCGTCGAAGTACTTGCTTTGAGCCAAGCAGCCGCCAGCGTCATGATACAAGACTGAGATATACGTTGGACTTCCACCCAACCACGGAGTAGCACGTGGCGTGCAACAGGCCCTTTTCGCTCAACCTCGGCGGTGCAGATCGATACGGTCGGATACTGCGAATAGTACTTTCTGCCAAAGTCAACAAGTCCTTTCGTCTGCCCATTGTAAGTCGACCGGATCTCAGCGGCTTTGTCTATACGACCACTCTGGATCTGATGAAGGATGGACCCACCTGTCGACGTGGAATACTTCGACTCCATCGAACCCATTCATCCAAAATGATGAAATTCGCCCTGGGCTGGTCGGAATGGCTACATCTTGGCACCCTTGGATAGCAGAACATGTCCCGCCAGAGCATTACCGCAGCACAGCTCTACCCTTGGTGGAAGAATTCGACGCCACGAACAGAAAGTAATTGTTTGCTCTTGGACATACGACTCTGCATCTTTGGGAAAGAATTGATTCCGTGTCCCGTCGACCGTCGCAAGCTCGCGGCTAAACCGAGCTTTTCTTCTCGTATAATTTCGACTTTAACTTTTAAAAGTATAGCGTTGCGGTCTGGGCTCCGTACCGTAATGGACCCACTCAATTCTTGGTCCATTTAGTCGAAATTACTGCGGATACTATTTTGGTGCAAAATAGCAGGGCTATCGTACTGGCTTCTCTTTCCAGAGACTCGTCGCTGGCTGCTGGTGGCTGTGCGTTTGTGAAGATGTTTCTCCTCCTGACCGGACCGCACGACTGGTTCTAAGTCGGAGGAGCCGAGTGCCACAGAGTGAAGTGTCGGCTGACAAGAATAGTTATGGCTAACAAATTTCTCAGAGATGTAGCGCGACCTATCCACCTTACGGACACGAATGCTCCAATACGAGGTTGCTCCCTCGACTGACGATACGATTGTACGACGTTAGAGCCGTGATTTTGATTATTGCGCAAGGTGCAATACGATGGATGCTAGTAGACGAGCTGGTGTATAAGAGTACTAGGTTTCTTTCCCATCGAGAGTGTTAATTTCCATCATCAGCACAACCATCCGACAGAGGAATCCAGCAGCTCTCGTTCCACCGCTGGAAGACTTCCTTTTACGAACAACACATATAATACTTTCGTTGCTACTCTCTGCCAATCATTCTCGACAGCGACAGCATCAGCATCATGACCATGCACTCCAAGCTCTCCCTTCTCGCCCTCGCGGGCGCTGCGGCCGCTGCTCCTCCGGCTTATGGTGCTCCTCCGCCTCCAGCTTATGGGATCCCGACCACCACGGCCTCGACGACCTACGCTTGCAACCCAGCGCATTTGTATCCCAACGGAGCGACTTGCGTTTCTCAATCCGGCGCGCTGACTCTTGTCACTCCGGCTCCCACAGCTTCCACGACGTACGCTTGCAATCCAGCGCATTTGTACCCCAACGGCGCCACTTGCGTTGTCCAGAACGGATCTCTTACACTCGTCACTTACTCCGTCGACATCCCGGAGTCTAGGACTGCTTCATCCTCCGTTGATGTACCAGTGTCAAGGACTGCTTCATGGACCGTCGACGTACCAGAGTCGAGGACTACTTCGTGGTCCGTTGACGTACCAATATGGAGGACTGCTTCATCCACCGTCGACGTACCCGAGTCTAGGACTGCTTCGTGGAGCGTCGACGTACCAGAATCGAGGACTACTTCATGGTCCGTCGACGTACCCGAGTCTAGGACTGCTTCATCCTCCGTCGACGTACCCGAGTCTAGAACTGCTTCTTGGAGCGTCGACGTACCAGAGTCGAGGACTGCTTCATCCTCCGTCGACGTGCCAGTATGGAGGACCGCTTCATCCTCCGTGGACGTACCCGAGTATAGGACTGCTTCGTCCTCTGTCGACGTGCCAGTGTGGAGGACTGCTTCGTCCTCTGTCGACGTGCCGGTATGGAGGACTGCTTCGTCCTCTGTCGATGTGCCGGTTTGGAGAACTGCTTCGTCCTCTGTCGACGTGCCGGTATGGAGGACTGCCTCCTCCTCTGTCGACGTACCCGAGTATAGGACTGCTTCGTCCTCTGTTGACGTGCCGGTGTGGAGGACTGCTTCGTCCTCTGTCGACGTGCCGGTATGGAGGACTGCCTCGTCCTCTGTCGACGTGCCGGTGTGGAGGACTGCCTCGTCCTCTGTCGACGTGCCGGTGTGGAGGACTGCTTCTTCCTCTGTCGACGTACCACAGTGGAGGACTGCTTCTTGCCCGCCCCAGGCCACTGTAACCGTCACTAAGACTGTCTATGCTGGCTCAGCCCTTCCTCCAACTACCACTGCCGCTCCCACTCAGTCTACGTACGCCTGCAACCCAGCACACCAGTACCCGGCCGGCCAAAACTGCATCGAGATCAACGGCACTCTGACACTCGTGACCGGAGGCTCTCCAGCCGCAACTGCTCCCATCACTACCAGCTGCTCCTAGATGTTAAGGAATGGGAAGATACCACATGGAGAGATGTGTATTGATATTGACAAGAGCATTCCCGTTAGCTTTGCATGGCATGGATTTGTTGCTTTCCTGGATTGGGCGTGGTTATGGTAGTATTGGGCTCAAAAGCTCCTTGAGCATCTGGTATGGCTGACGATTTGGCGTTGGGAAAGAAAAGTCATAGATTTGTATATGATGTGTATGGAACGTATCTGACGACTTCCACTGCCTATCTTAGACTTCTTCTGATAATGAAAGCATCTCTACCCAAAGCGGGCAATGCGATCTCAGATAGATACTCGGCATCGGAAAATTGTTCTACCTTGAGAATCCATGACGATGACGCCAACTTTAAAAGTCATATGCCGATGATGAAATTCGTCTCCTGCACCTGTTGATGAATGACGCGGTTGACCCCATGCTTGCACGGGCTTCGTTGCGTGCCTTGACCCTTGGAACCGAGTTTCTTTTCTGAATTTTGACTGGTTGAGCTGTAACAAGCTTCCCTAAATATATCAGATTTGGCATGTGAGCTCTTCGATGCGCCAATCAGAGGGTGCACGGCGGGCCGATCGATCTTCTGCTCCCTGTCGAGGGTCTAGACCTGCGTGTTTCATCATTAGCAGAGCGGTTTCTATGATGAGGTGGATGGCTGAGCTTACGAATGTCAGCAAAGAGTGGGAGGTGGTTGATATAGGATGATGTTGCGTTGATCAAAGACAATCCTCTACTTCTCCATTACCGAAACAACACAACAAACTCATCTATCTATCTAGCAAGCCACCAAAATGCCTGACATCACTTCCACCGGCAGCAAGAACACCGAGGTGCAGCACAACATCTCCTCTGCCACTGGACACCGAGTACGAGCTCTACCCATGCACAAACAAGTGAGAAACGCAGTTACTAATGTTCTCTTGCAGAAGGGCTCCGGCGACCTATTCTCCGGCATGAAAGAATACAAGCGCGATTCCGAGAACCTTGCCCAACAGCAAAGACGTGAGAGCTTGAAGGATATGAGTGCGAAGCCGCAGGGTGGTTTCCTTTCGAATATGTGGAACAGGTATGTCTTGGATGGCAACGTGGGAGGAGACCATATGACTAATATGAAGCAGCACTTTCCGAGAGCCGGAGAAGAAGTAGAACAAGAACGAGCTGGGATGACATATACGAGTGTACAACAGCATGGCGTTTGAATGAGGAGTAGACGTACCCGAAACTTAGCGGAATTCCGCAGGGCCGAACAAATACGATCAATTGAAGAGAACGCACACTTGACATCGGGACCCGGGCTTTCAACGTATTCAGAGCCGCATTAAACCGTTCTCAGGGAGGATGGTGACCAGATCGATCGATCTGATTGTTCGTTAGGTTTTTGTGAACGGCTCTTGCATGTGGTCATCGGCCAGAAAACATCAAATCCACTGGAACATATCTCACACCAGGGCTCACAAACTTGCATCTGAGACGAGTTCCGAGGTGCCACGTTCCGAATCAATTCATACCAAGCTTCGAACGCCAGACACAGCCTTGCAGAACCGAAAATCGACCACCAAATCATACCGCGTGTTGAACGCGGCTGGTAGTCGTAGTTGGCAATCAGAATAGGGGTTGAGCCCACCCACAGTTGTGGTCCTGCCATGGCATAGTGGATATGGAGGCCTGAATGACGAAAGCGCCAGATCAGTGTGATCGGCTGTGCTCAGCCCAGAAGCTCGAACATGAGCACTGGCTGGACTTTCGTGCTGTCATCGCCCTTGAACATCTCCGCTTGTTGAATGACCTTGTGTCCACGGGATAGTTTGCCCCGATGGTGCATAAATGCATCAGTAACCTGTTCCCCGACCGAGGAGCCGATGAGAATGGTCGCTCCAATAGTCTGAGATGCAAGCTGGAATCGCCGCCTTGGATCGTGCTCCCAGACTGGGAGTTGACTGAGTGATAATCTCCCGTAATTAGATGTGCTGCCTGGATTTTTGAGTACCGATTCCATCAGCCATCTGGTCTGAGCATCAATGGCGTGATTGAAAAAGATCATCCTTCCCAGGTCGCGAGGGTCAGTTCCCATCATGGATGAGAATTGGGTCCACTGAACGGCCGCAACGTCCCCCAAAGCAGCGAATGGAGGCGCGATCCCGGGAGCCATTCTCGCGTTTGCTCCATTCATCCGTTGCCACATAGCGTAAGGTGTCAAGTTGTATATCACAATCATGGTGAGCTTTTGGCCAGGCGCATAGATGATCGTATATTGCCCTTGGGTGGGGTGCTGCTCCATGTCAGTATGTTGCTGATGTTGTGAATAGTCAAACTCTGCTCACATGATTGTCTACTCTATCCCACTTCTGGTCCTGACGCCACCGTCTTCCTCGAAGTCTGGGATCATTGATGCTGATGCCAAGGTCTCCGAGAGCGCGTTCGATCGGCCTCAACTCTGTTTGCATGTACGCGACACTCAAGTCGACCCCAGTCCAGCCCTTGTTAGGATTCATCAAGTCCGCATATTGTATGTTGGCGTCTGCGTAGTTGATCCGCAATTGTGCCTTGAGCTCTTCGCCCTTCGTAAAAGTGTTCACGAGGTCTGGGTGTGGCGGGGGTGGAGCCCGCTGTGAAACATTACGAGGAGGTGGCATACCCGCACCGATGCCTCCAGATTGTTGGTTACTAGCATATCCGCCATAATTCGGATGATAGGCTCTCCTCTCCAAGTCGAGTGGAACTGGCAATTCTTCCACTGTCAGGTTTTGGTCCAAGGACAAAAGCTGTAGATTGTCATCAAGGGCATTCAGATCATTGAGTCTTGATTCTTGTTCCGCTTTTGTGAGGTATGAAGACCTGTTGCGGGAAGCACAGCAACAGAGCACGAGTACAACGGCCAGACCCAGAAGGAAAAAGAGTCCCTGCTTGTAGGCAGTCGATCGACGAGGCGCTGATGGTTGATGAGCCTCGACATCTGCGTCTGGCCCTTCGAGATCGACGAATGGGCCAAGCTTTCCCATGTCATTAGGTGGATGATGTGCGACGTGGGCACGATCGTGCGAGTCCATTTTCCTTCGCATGAGAGGTGCCACTTGGGCGAATTTGTAGGTAAGAGCTGATTTGCAAGAATCCTGAGACCAGGCTATGGGCTTTTGTTCGGGTTGATGTCGAAGTTGGAATTGATGGAAAGGAGTTCCAGAGCCCAAGATATATGCGTCCTCGGGACCTTGTGAGATTCTCATGCTAGACATCCAAGTATGACTGCCAACTGGGCGGTTTGCTATGATCCGTCGCTCCTGCAGCGCGAGGGCATGAGTTGGCAGTCATTTTTCTCCGTGTTGATGCCTCGTACCACCGGCACGGTATACTATCGTTGAGAAAATCTCATGCTCCGCGTGCCTCTCCGCAAACATGCGTCGGACAGCCAGCCAAATGGCGAAAGGTCGTTGCGAACCATGCGTATGACGACTACCACGAGGTATATGTCGTCGTCTGATTGGCGATGTATTTTCTCTCGACAACTACCGATCATCGAGGTCAATTTGCAGACATAATAGTACAATCTCACCGTGAGCTGCCAGTAAGTGTCGTGCGTCTGAAGTCGTAAACACAGACGCCCTCCGGGAATAGACAGACTCCAAATTGCGGGTGTTATAGAAATGTGATGTCCTCTCATAGGTACAAATGTGAGGTGCGATCGCTGATGGGCAGTGTGCACGGTTCAGAAAGTCACATGGTACGGCCATTACTCAATTAGGCAATTACAAAGATTGGTCAAGATCTTCGAGCGGTAGTTGAATTTTGCAAAGTGGCTGCATCGGTGGAATGAGTGTGCGATCAAGAAGTGAGGAGAGTAAAGTCTTCGTTTATCTAGTACAAGTCGCCTGCATCTATTGGAAACACTGGCTCGTGCCAAGATAAAGATATAATGAGAGAGTACAGCATAGCTATCTCACGACCCATTGCGGTCATGCCATCTGCCTAATTAGAGAAGGAAATATTCCATGGAGATTGTGATGCATGATCACACGCGGTCCAGTCGCTCGGACAAATTCAACACAGGCAGACACTTGCTCCAGGAAAACACCATATGTATCGTCCATCCATACCAGAATAAGAGTGAGCCGCATCGTTTCACAACCTTGGAAATTCTCTCTTACCACGCGAAGAGCCACGCTGCGTTCCCGAAGACCCGGCCACGACTCCTCCGCTGCTTTCTTTCTTCGGCCAAGACCTCACCTTTCCGCTGTTATCCAGGTTCACCAGCTCATAAATAGACGAAGATCCCGTGTACTCCGGATGCTCTTTGTCGGGCACATGAAATAGGGAAATCTTGCTCACCCGCTTCACTCCCAGCTCTGCTCTATGTTGTAGTAGCATCCAGGCCAGGGAGTTCCAGCGATAGATCAAGGCGTGGAAGATTGCTCTGTCTTCTTTGTTGCTCTTGGCTGCGAAAGTGAGTCTATTATTGAACAAGGGTGTCTGGTATGTGCCACCATGGATGTTCGCATTTGATGATCTCCCGGTCTCTTTGCTCCATGGCTGCGGTCTGGCGCCTTTTTGCTTCATGATATAGTCGTGCAGCCGTACGGCATCGTCGTTATGTATCGAAAGGCCAATCGCGTAGCGAAGGTTTCTTGGGTCGTCGCCGTTTTGGGTTGCATGTTGGAGATAGCATAGAAACCAGATATCGCTGATTTTCTGAAGCTTCGGAAAGTTTTTAGGGTCTTGCATATATCCTTGGGCTTCTTCGTCGTCGTAATCAGAATCACTGTCGTAGAAGGTATCTTTAATGGCATGTTTTGGAGACTCGGCCGATGCGCTGATAAGTACGCCTTCTTTGGTGTTGTACACAGCGAATACAAAAGCTCCCGTACCCTGCGCAATGTCAGTAGCCTGTTCTGAAAGGTAGTCAGGATATCGAATAAGACTTACGGCGTCGTGCTGCTCACCATCGAACTCGGAATTCCCCTGGTGCATTGCCACCACATCGTTGTAGCCACCAGCCGCCCGAGTCCTGCAGTCGAGGCCGAGACTTTCCAATATATGGCAGACGGGTGCAGGTAGATTGATATTTCGATCATCAAGTCTGCCGGTCTTCTTCCCTGGAACGGTTATCCATCCTCCCCTTTTCAAGTCCTGCTCGGGTTTCGTGAACTTGCTCTGAGAGCCTTGGTCACTTTGAAGCCGATGCTTTTGGCGCATTGCCTTGTCAAGCTGGGATGTTTGGGGAATGCTCATGAAGTCGTAAAATTCTGCGCCTCTGCGTTCCAGAGCACGGAATTCTGCATCCGTGAGCGGTGGGAGGGTATGATGTTGCCCTTGACCAGGAGAGTGTTGAGAGAGAACGTCTGGCATCTCGATGTCACTTCGTCGAGAAGCTCGCGTAACGAGAGCCTCGTTTTCGAAAGTCCCGGATGAATTTGAAGACTCGTTGTAAGAAGGAGCCGTCAAGTTGGATGCGGGCAGAGCAAAAGCCGATCCAACCCAGAGCGCCAGTACAATAGGCTTGAAGGACTTCATGACGGCAGCTGGTCGAAGGCAGTCCAATATCTGGTAAAGGGTTGTCCCTGAGAGACTCTTTGAGATGTGTGCGTATGCTGCTAGACGCCGAGGACAGGCGAAGGTCTTCTGCGCTTGCAAGTCAGTAGTGAGTTCTCAAATCTCTTGCAACTGGGAAAGGGATCTGGACTTTTTGATTCAAGGCATTGCTGGGTCACATTGGACTCGTGGCCTGCGCTGTGACACTCCTGTCAGCGAGGTCTCAACGCAGACGGCCATGACCAAGCTTGGGGTGCTGTTCCCCAAGTTTGCTCGGCTTCAAGGAGAATGTGTTGTTCATATTGAGGCCAACAAGTCCATATGATGGCGAAAGATGCCAATAATATCACCTCCGTGACCACATTCCACGGGGCTGAATGAGGATCACGGTAGGGTGGGTGAGGCATGCCAGAGGAGGCATAGTCAACTTGCTTGTCCCCGATGTCTTCCCGTGAAGGAATTCCAGTCGACGGGAAATATCCGTGAGCGATAGAGCGGGAAGACCATTCGACGGTTTCAGGGTCCTGAATTGGTGCTTGGTACCGTCGTCGGCGTCACCTCATGTAGGGAGTCCTCTCATTACCGGCCGTGAAATCTAAATCTCACTACCTGACTCCCAGTGCCTTTCCCCCGACATGCCCCATCATTGAACATTTTCAACCTCCAGCATCAAGCTGGGTCCCCTATATCCATTCTCCATCGGATCCGTATCCTGATATATCACAATCTGCTTCACCCTCTTATGGCCCAACTGCTGCCTATGTTGAAGCAACATCCACGCCACGAATGCTCCTTGGTTGGATCTCAAGAGCGCTTTGAAGCCTTCTTCGTTGGGTGTGACTGTGACTCTGTCTTTCCAGTCCGGTGGGATTCTGAAGTCGCCGGAACGGCCGTGGTACTCCCATGGTTGGCGGGGACAGCCTTTGGATTTGAGGACGTGCTCGATGACCTCGTTGGTGGATTCGGTTTCGACTACGTTGTGGAAGATGTAGCGCAGTCCTTTCGGATCGTGCTTGTTGTTCTTGGCTCGTTGGATGTATTCGAGGAAGACGACCTGTTATGTATTGGTAAGAATCTGGGCTCACGTAAAGGAGAGGGCAGGATACTTACGTCGCTCATCTTGTGGAGTTTCGGAATTTGCGCTTCTATCGTCCCTTTCATGGTGCTCGACAGTTTGCCTTCCATTCCTGCCGTCTTCGTCGCCATTGGGCTTTTCGCGTTGGTTATGATGACGACTCCGTCTTTAGTGTTGACCCAGAAGTCGTAGTGAGCATATGTTGGCTACAAGGTTCAGTCAGCGAAGAGACTTATCGCGGAGTGGAGAGGGATAATACCTTCTGCTTCTTTCCATCGAACTTGTCTTGATTCTGCATCCAAACCACGGACTGATTGGATCCTTGCGGATACACCTTGTCGGAGAGCCCCAAGTCTCTTAAAACAGACCCGAGAATATCTTCAGGCTTGTCCTTGACGTTTGGTCCCTCTACCCAGCCCAGTGAGAACATTCGACCTGGGTCGATGAATGGGCTCTGGGAGCTTTGCGCTTCGCCAAGTTTGCCGGCCTTTTGTAGAGCCTTGTCGATCTCGTCGATAGAATTGTGGCTCATGCACTCGTAGAGAAGAGCGCCGCCTCGCACTGCATCCTGGAATTGCTTGTCGTCCATGACCATGATCGCCCTAGTGGCAAGACAGTCTGTTGCATATGTGATCCTCCGGTCTGCGTCCAGTTTATGATCTGCAAAATTGCAGCATGCGAGCTTGGGAGCACCAAAGCAAACGCGAAGCGCAAACAATTATCCTTTCTTCTTTCTGCATATGCAATGGAAGAGGCATATGTCAGAGAGCTGCTCGAGATGCTATTCTTTCAGTCTGTTCGCTTTTGTCTCGCCTGTACGCAGGCACCGATAAGGTATACGGTGGGCTTTCGCATCAAAGGCGTGCTTGAGACCAACAAGTTTGCTGCATCCAGCTAATGAAAAGGCCGATGCGCTTGCCGAAGCATCCCATGTCTTTGGCGGACAATGGAGCTTGTCACACATATGAGCATGTGAATGTGGAAATTGAAAGGATCCGGTGACCTCGAAAACCAGCCCGTGCGTTGCGTGATCGCGATTTTGTGAGAGAGAAGCCCTTCACAAAGCATCAGACCCGACATGCCTTCATACATTTTTAGAGATACTTACTGCAATACATCAACCATGACCCCAATAGCGCCTTCGCTCAAAGTTCATGCTGTGTCTCGTTTGAGTGCTCGTTGTTCAGCTACCCTCGAAGACCTCAATCTTGACAAGTTCTGGCACCAGCGTCTCCAGATCCATCAGTACAATCTCGCCCGTCTCTTTGAACTTCGGCACGGCAACTAGCCTCACTGCTTGGCCTTGCGGTCCTTCGATCACGCTCGTCTCAAACTTTGGTTGATTCCCAACGAAGTACACATGCGGTGCCTCCCGCATGACGAACCTGTCACCGTCTTGGAAGGGATAGCACCACAAGGTATCCGGCGCCGTTGGAGCCGTCAACCGCCATCGAAGCATGGCCTCCATCATCTCCAGCCTTTCTTCGCCATGCACGTACCTGTATACGTCGTCAAGTGTCTGACCTCCCGCGCCGAGGAAACGCCAGCCGTGTATGTCAAGGTCCGATGGGTTTGTGGTTGCGTCAAACCAGTTCGCCCCATCTGCTTCTTGTGGTACTGGATGCTCCATGTAAGCTCTGCTGTGTGGGAACATGGCCGCGTGAATGGGCTGTTGAGGCAGGGAGGTGGAGGTTGGATCTGTTGCGCCTGGTAGGATTGTGACGGGCATCGAAGGGAGAAGGGAAGCTAGCCAGGTGTCGAGACGGTCAGTGGGTGCGGCGTTGTAAGCTGATGCATCGTAGCCGTATGTCTTCCGGCCGCCTTTTCTCGCTGCTGCTAATTCCTCGCGGGTGGGAATGGGCTGCGAGTGAGAGAGGGAGTTTCCGGCGATCACAAGGCGAGATATGTCGGCCGCGGAGGATTGCTCTTCTGCAGAAGTTGCTTCACCCAGTAAGTACTCCATGAGGAGGTCCAATGCGAGCGTGTCACCCTGATCACCACTCATACTAAGACCGGACACGAGTGCAAGTTTTCCGCCTTTTGACCTCTGCTGTCCGCTGACTTTCCCGCCCTTTCTCGCCGCCAGACCGTCTTCTTTCTCCCATCTCTCAGGTTGTCGCGGTAAGTCTGGTACCCGCAGATCCAGCACGTCGAACTCTCCCTCTGCGTTCTCGGTACCCAGCACAGCAACAATAGCGCCGGTGACCAGGAGACAATCCCGGAGAAAGTTTCCTGTCATGCGCAATCTGCCACTCTCATCTTCCAACATCATCTGCTCCATTTCACCGGTATACTTCTCTCGCGCCGGCGGAGCAGCGATCCAGTGCTCCTTCCCAATGTCCTCAAGTACGTTCGGCTTCAATGGCATCTCCATGTACACTGTCCCGATGACCCAGCAGAGCTCTCCCTGCCGCACATCCAACACTCGGTCCACCTTTTGTGCATACTCGCCGGCGATTCCGAACTCGGAGAATGCTTCAGATGCTATCTGTTGCAGCGGCGGCTTGAGCTGGGCGAGGCGGGCAAAGTACATGTCGGCATATTGCTGCTGGTAGTGCTTTGCCTGGCCGCGGGGCAGGGTATAGGTGTACAGGGGTGCGTACGTGGTGTGGGTTCGGCTGAGAGATTCGTGAGCATCAGGAGTCGGTTTGGAGAGCAGCGCATCGTCGCCCGAGGGAGTCGAGATGGCCATTGTCGTTGCGAATTCTTGGCGTTCAGAGCTGGTGAAGGAGCACGTTGAAGTCAAAGTCGAGCAACTTGACTTGAGCCGCGGGTCCCGACGCGTTGACGCGAATCTGGGGAGCGCGTGGGATAGCGGAAGCTTTCCGGATGTTGCACGTGAGCGGAATCTTTCCGCTGACGAAAGCCTAGAAAGCATTCCATTACGATCACACGTGACCGGGTTCTTCGACGTCGCAAAATCAACCATAGTCAACCTCACACCCGTGATCAGCTTGAAAGCAGGCATCTTTTCTCCCTCAGTGGATTTGGTCTGGAGGATGACCCCAAGATCACATCGCGCAAGATTGGTGCACAGGATCCTTTGGCCCACATAGTTTACTGCATTTGCGATGGAGCAGTGCCGAGCTTTGATGACTTGTCTGGCGAAGAACGTCAATCGACCAAGGCGCTTGCTTGCTGGTACCACCTGAACGGACTACTCTTCGTGGAAGAGGCGCAGGACGTACTGAGATCTCTCTCTGATGAACAGAAAACATCGTTCCGGCTTCTACACGAATGGTGGAGAGCACAATACCAACGACCTGAAACGACTCTTGCCTACTTGGAGGACATTGTTGGGCGAGGTGCTCAACGTCCTGATCAAGACGATCAACTGGGAACGCTCGCTCGAACTGTGCAGAATTCCCTCAAGATGGTTCGTGGTTTGCACGATGTTCGTGGTACGAGGCCCAGTCCTGCCAACACTCCCTACGATGCAGCGATGCGGAAGATGTTCGACTTTGAATTCCGCGGTGTTGATGAAGAGCTACCATTCCATGCCTCAAGGCTAGACGTCCTCAGAACATTTCGTCGTGAGGCCATTGTCACAGCATGGGCTCAACAAATGGCCTTCGAAAGCTTTTGTGATGCTGTTGCATCCAAGTCTGAGAGCAAAGACGCCCACAGACTAGCAGAAAAGTACACAAAGAATTCAACGTCGTCCCCCCATCACCATGCGCTGCTTTCACCTGCACTAAGACGTGGGCCAGTCATCAAGCCATGTCCATGGCTTGCTACCAGTCGGACAGGTCTACAGGTAGACATGCCGCACTATCTGTGGGATCGTGAAATAGATGAGACGGTGTTCACTCCAGAGCTCGCTACATTTGTTGCCTATACATGTATTAGCCATACATGGGGACGCTACACTAAAACCCCCAAGGAGTACAGCGGTGTGCCCGGCGTGCCATGGAAAGTGCCAACAAACAGCAAATTCGACGTTCTAGAGCTTGGCAAGCGATTGAAAGGCCTGAGCTGCGAAACGAGATATGTGTGGATTGACCTTTTCTGTATACCACAAGATGGCTCCGAGCTTGGGAGGGCTGAAATTGCACGGCAAGCCCAAATCTTCCAGAATGCAGAGTACGTCGTCGCATGGTTCAACGACGTCGAAAGCTTTGCAAGCTTGAGAGAAGCCTTGGTCATCATGGCTCTGCAGCTGCTACAATTTCCTCCCGATTGCCAGGAACATAGATTTGCGGTCTCTTGCCAAGTCATTGCCGAGCAGAAGTTGTCCAACAACCCGACTGGCCTCTTAATGCACTGGGACGACAGATTCGATTCACCCGTAGGTCAGGCAAATCCCTGGTTTACCTCACTTTGGACCTTGCAGGAGCTCTGCCTTCGTCCGGATATGTGGATCTGCTCTGCAGGATGGCAAATGCTAGCAATAAGACGAGACGAGCCAATGCCCATCATTGGAATTGTAGCATTGTGGAACTGCTTTGAGCCTGTGTTTCAGGAGATGCTAGGGCCGCACCGGAAAAGTAAAGGAGATGGCGGTGTCAAGCCGAGCAGTTCACCGAGATCCGTAGAAGGAAACCCACGAGCTGCATTCGGTGAGCTCGCGCACTGGATGAGAGCTACAGCTCTTTTCCGTCTGACAGACATGTCACGGGCGGACATACTTGCCATTGGGGATAGGCGGTTCTGCACCGAGCGCAGAGCCGAAGCTATCATGTCTTGCCTAGGCACTACCAAATGGTATTTTGACACTCCTCGTGCTGAACACGAAGCAACTGTGGTAATGGAGAAGTATCCGACGGAATTCGTGGCCGAGGTACAAGCAGAGGATCCACTGACCTTTTTTGGACGCCTTGACAAGTGGGATAGCAATCTTTACGACTCGAGAGGGCTTGATCTGGATATCGCGCTCAAGCCAGCAAATAGACGTGATACCACTCGGCCCATCGAGTTCGAGCACATACCAGCACAGCCCATAGGAACTATGCTCCCCTTCAGTACTTACGGTGCAGTAGCAGTGGCTGCAGCTGCATCTTTCGTTGATACGTTCGATTGCCACGACACTGTGAGGAATTGGCTCGTACGCCGCGACGGAAGAGTAGAGATCCCTAGCGCTTGCATTCTGGCTAGTACGCTTGCGTCCCTAGGTCCGTTCCAGCATATCGGTGCCATCTTTACAACCATCACTGCGCCCGATTCTGGAGGTCTCGTTGACTTGCAGGCGTGGATTAGTGCCCGGTCGTTCGAATGCCACGCTCTTGTGCTCGGTTCTCGTACGTACTTCTCCGACTCCCGAGTCGCCGCCATGGTCTATCAGGGAATCATCCTGGCAAGACTTACGGACGATCTTTTCGTTAAGCTTGGATCGTTCCATGCTAGAGTGAAAAGTCGTACCAAAACCGCAATGCCTCGGACTACTGTCACGGATTGGATTGTAGCATGATTGCTGGGAAAGTCCCGTGGCTTTAGAATGAAGCGACCATGTTTCTGGTCTCTCTACAGAAATTATATACATGGTGATTGGTTGCCAACTCCACCTTCAGTTCATGCAAAATGCCAACTCGGAGCTGGTGGGGTCTAAAGAAAGAGGCGGAGCGGGGAATGCTCCAGAGCAGATTGAAGTCCATTCCGCAGAGTCTAAGAGTATGCTCGGGTCCCAAGGTCGCAAGTACCTGTCTGTATGCTTCCATGATGTCCATGTGAGCGAAGGATGTGGAAGGGATGGATCCGCAATGCCCGAGGATGAGCTTATTATTCGCTGGTCTGTACGTGACCGTCAATCAGACGTCCGTAGTCCCCACACTTCGGGCCAAAACACTGCAGTGGCACGTTAGGGCATGTTTGCAGGCCGCTGCGCCTCTGGATCTGTTGGTATGCATGTTAGTACCCATGCTTTCTGACCACCCCTCGCCATGCAAGCCCTGGTGTAATGTCGAGAATCAGATCGAAAAAGGGAAGACGAAAGCACGCCAGTGACAAGGCTGTGCACAGTCGCCCCTCGCCCGGAGGTGGCGATGTGAGTCGCCTACATTAGACTGCAGAAAGCTGAAAATATTGAAAAACTACAACATTGTTCAACATGTCCTCCATTCAAATCTTATTCTTTCGTTGGTGCGAGAACTTACTCATGGATGATCAGAATACAGCTATCGGTGCCATTGGCGCAGTGCTCGGCTATATTGGGGCCGAAGGTGCGACGCCAGCTATGTTTGAACGACTACTCTGGCCTCAACGAGCCTATCTTGGTTTCACATATCGCCATCTACTGAAGCTGGCGTTGCTTGGCTCGACCGGCGGTGCAGTGTACAAAGCTGCCTTACAGGTCCTGGACAATGCTTATTCTCATGGTCTTCTAAGGGGAGCCGGCCTGGGACACATGCTTGGTTCATCTTTTTTCCCGCAATCAGAAAGCAGGTATATGCTGGAGAGTACCGACAGTCATTCCGAATCACACAGTGAGCCGTCTCGAAACTGTCTATGGGAAAGGGTTTCAGCCTTAATGCCTCCCTCTTCCCGGCTTGGATCCATGATACACGACGTGGAGCATGGGCATTCGGCCAGGCAGCAGAGTCGATCGCAGGTCTCTGTCCATCACATCATGCTCGAGGTGTGCGATTTGCCAGCATCTGTTTCACCAGTACTGAATACAGATACCGAAACCGGAACAGTCTCTTCGCGTGCCTACATTGGTATTGTTGCTTCGGAGCTCTCCGGCATCACTTTCACGATCCTGGTAGCGACAATTTGCAGGTCGTGGCTAGCTGTCCTTTGGCTATGTCCGCTTTTCATAAAGACGGCATCTGCCTTGGCGGCTCTCGAGCGCGAGCCTTTACATCTTGAAAGGTCCAGCATTCTCGACCAGCTCTTGAAATTCAGATGCCATTGGAGACCGGATCGTTCTTGATCCTGACGGGGCCTCCACCTCTGACTTTCCAATTTTTCCGACACTATGGGCATCCGAAGCGGTCCAGAGTACGAGCATTAATGATCTTATCGGCGCCCTTACGAAGGTCCTGAACGAGCAGCCCTATGAACCCTTGCCAATACACCGACACAACACGAAGAATGTTAAGTAAGTTGCGAAGACCTGGTGTATCATTCTCGAAATATCAACAGGCTGGAGACTCTCGGACATGGAAGTGGCCTTGCAATCTACAAAACTGACCACCTTTCGTCGAGTTACTGAATGCGTCACTTCGCATCAATGGCAATCTTGCCCTTGTTCTTTGCCGAGGAAGAGATCGGTCCCGTCCTGGTCTACCTCCATCACACATGTGGGGCGAGATATGCGGGCAGACCAAGGGCAACGATTTCCTGTTCTGATCGTAAAATTGCAAAGCTCTAGATCGCAACTCGACCGTGTTCTGAAGGCCGTACGCAAGGATAGGAGCTTCTCAGGCCAGCCTGAAGGAAAACCGATGGCCGTTGACAAGGCCTCGAATGATCCTTGGGGGCGGTACCTACGACTCCTAAGAGTGAATTGGAATTGCTCTACACCTCGATCTATGTAGGAGAAGTAGGCTTCTCCATGCGAATGGTTTTATTGGCCTGTCGAATGACAAGCGTAGCTCTGTCATCAAGTTCCGTCTGTACCCAAACACCAGACACCAGAGCCCGTGGAGGTCCGACTCCGTCTGGGAAGGTCACTCGAATCGCTGCGGGATTGCCGTTCACCTTGCAAGCCAAGACAGCCTGGCCGTCGTTGTTCCTCCGCACCGGATATCCTCGCCAAAACTGGGCGGCCGACGTCAATGAGGTAGCCTCGGTCGCCGAAGCCTCCCAATGTTTGCCGCCTTCTACCCATAATTCTGCTCTTCCTCGGGCATTGAAACCGCTGATCACCTCGCCTTTGGGGGATTGGAAGTCGGGAACTTCAATCTCTTGGTAGAAAGTACGTTGCGTTCTATAGCCAAGGGCTTGCAGGTGACGTTCCACCTGTTGAACGATATGTCGCAGATATCCGCCGTCCGGGTCTGTACTGAAAACCCCCCAAGCTGTGGTCGTTTGAGGGAAGGACTGGGAACGCGTTTGAAGAAAGCTCGAAACGCGGCTGAGGTAGACTGCGTGGTGGTTGTAGCTCTCTTGTCCGATGTCGCGGGGCCCGGGCTGTGTCGCCCCAGGATATGGTGCGATGTGTGCCAGGATGATTGCCTCTGTCCCGCAGATAACGATTGCCGAACATCCATTCAAACCTCGAGTGCCAATCGCAGTTTGTGTCGAATGTCGATGGAGGATATTGACATCGTTCATTCTCACTTCCAAGAGCGCATTTGGATGGTTAGCGTAGGAGGAAAACGTTAGTCTGTTCGCCATTTCGCCTGTACTAGAGATGGTAGATATATAGCTAGCATTTGAGCAAAGCGCTGCTGTATATACAATGGTTATCTGCTGTGCCTCTCTTATAAGGACCCTGTTGCAGATCACAGGTATTAGAAGGTTGTCCGTCTGGTTGTATAAATAGTTGGTCGGTTTTTAGCTATCAGTGAAATAGTGGGGCGAGGACTGATCGATTGGGTTTCCGGTGTCCATTCAACCAGCCCCCGCCACCCTTTCAATAGGACACCATGATCCACCTCGCTTCGGTGTCATCTCCTCTTCTATACCACTGAATCACCTCCATAGCCACATATCTCTCGCAAGATGGGCGATTTGCTCGACATGGTTGGCTGTGATCCTAGAATCCAGTCAGCTCGCGAAGCTATCTTCAGCGGGAGTGAGGAAGACATCCGCGCAACTAGCTTCCACTTATCGGGCCTCACGACAATTGGACCCAAACTCGATGCTATCCGCGCCCAGAAACTCGACATACTCAAAACACTCCTAGAGATGGACCGAACGATTACGGAGGATCTTGTAGCCGCCGCTTGCGAGCAGAAGGACCGGGAATGTGTTCGTATGCTGCTCGACTTCGGATGGCCTATTGACAAGCGTATCTATCACGCAGCATCTCTTCTTTGGTATGCCCGGTTGGACGGATGCGTTTCTGCGCGCTAATTCTTTGTAGGTATGCTACAGACGACAAGGACTTCATGTCATGGCTTATCAGCATGGGGGCGGATATTAATGTTCGCTGTCAACTGGGCCAGCCAGTGCTGGCAAGGGCCATCGTATGCGGCGACATTGACGTAGTTCATCTTCTCTTTGAGAACCAGGCAGAAGTCAAGCATGGAGACCTTCTCCACTGTGCCGCGGAGAGGGAACATCACGACGAAGGCGCTGGAATTGCTAAAGCACTCGTACAGCGAGGAGTTGGCGTCAACACATTTCGGTACGACAACCCGGTTGCAATGCCGCTACGCGCCATGCACAGGCTTCCGACACCACTACATGTAGCGTGTCGCAAGCAGAACCTTCCGGTTGCGCAGGTCCTCGTACAGAACGGAGCAGACGCATACATGCAGATGCGTGAGGCAGGCAACTCCTGTCCTCCTAGTGCTCTTGAAATCGCACGCACTAAGGGCAATCGGGAACTTATTAACTTACTTCTCGGTAATACCTAGAAGTTATAGCCTTAAGGTAGCGAGTAGAAGGAAGATATAATAAGTTTTAGCCCTACTACTAATTAGGCGCTTCGCTAGAGAAATATATCTCTACTAGCGGAGTCTTCTACGAGATAGGAGTAAGTATTAAGAGACTCTAACTAGCCGATAGGGTTATTTAGACTAAGGGAGTCGCTCTTTTAGTATATCTTAAAGGAAGCTTTATAGGTAGAAGCCTTCTATATTAATTACTTCTCTAGAGCGTAGTAGTAAATCCTATATACTACTCTATCGCTTTACTCTTTCTCTACTAGATCTCTTTACTAACGAGCCTAATACCGATTAAGTCTTATATAAGTAATCCTTATATATTATAAGATTATTAAGTTATAGACTTAATAGTTTCTAAGCGAAAACTAAGCTAAAACTAAGACTCCTAGAAGAAAACTAAGCTAAAACTAAGACTTCTAGAAGGAAACTAAGCTAAAACTAAGGCTCCTAGAAGGAAACTAAGCTAAAACTAAGGCTTCTAGAAGGAAACTAAGCGGAAACTAAGGCTTCTAAGTAAAAACTAAGTAAAACTAAGCTAAAACTAAGGCTCCTAGAAGGAAACTAAGCGGAAACTAAGGCTTCTAAGCGAAAACTAAGTAGAACTAAGCTAAAACTAAGGCTCCTAGAAGGAAACTAAGCTAAAACTAAGACTTCTAGAAGGAAACTAAGCTAAAACTAAGGCTACCTATATAACCTAATAATAGAGGGTCGGATTATTAGCTTACGGACTATATATAGGTCTATATACTTAGAGTTAGCTTACTCTAGACAGCCGGATTATTAGCGTCGGATTGTTAGCTTAGGGTTAGGGTTAGAACGCTTAGGGTTAGGGTTAATAGGTATAGGGTTAGTCGGATTA